AGGAGTGAACTGGTCAACCCCCCCATCCTGTAGGTCCACTCCACACAGCAAGTTCATAGAGAACGAGGGGAGGTAGAGACCAGACAGGGTGCTAGTGGGGGCTGCCGGACACGGTACGACAGTGGAGAAGCTAGCAAGGACAGGACCCCCAGTGGGGTCTGCCAAGGAGACTGCAACCGGCCGACTTAGCGGCGTAAGAGTGGGGTGGTCTCGAAAGAAGGAGCGGGACGCACCCAAGTCAAGGGTGAGGGTGTGTAAGGCCTGAGCCGACGTAGTACCTGAGAGCGCAGACTCACAAGCACCTGGGGCAGCAGACGCACTAGCACCAAGGGGAGCTGAAGCACTAGCACCTAGAGCAGCAGCCTCACCAGCACCTAGAGCAGTAGCCTTAATGCCCGGGTCAAGCGGTACATACAGGTAACAGTCACCCACAACACTATCATCAACAGCATACATGGCAGCAAGAATAGCATCATAGTCAAGATCAAAAGACGGCAACCCCCGCCCTAGACAAATCTCCCCAGCGAGGGATCTCTGTCACCTCAGGGAACTGGCGACGCCACGCGTCCGTCAGGCGACCGAAGCAGCGCCGGGTGGAGTGTGGGCCTCTGCACTGCTCACCAGCTCGGTCTCCGGTATGGAGAAGGTAAGTGCAGGGACCAAAACCCCCACCGCGGTGACGCGCAGTGTACCACTCACGAAACTGCTGAGGGGATAGGGTCACACCACTCCGCTGCTCCTGGCGCGGACCACCACCGGAGCCACTCCTCTACGCAGAGTCGCGACCCGCTCCACCACCGCCGCCGCCACCACCGCCTCCGCCGCCTCCTCCACCTCCGCCTCCTCTGCCACCTCGGCCGCCTCCGCTCCCTCTGCCGCCTCCTCTCCCTCCGCCACCACCACCGCCTCCGCCGCCTCCACTGCTGCCGCCGCCGCCGCCGCCACCCCCGGCACCACTCCCACTACCACCACCACTCCCTCCACTGCCTCCACCACCACCTCCACCGCCCCCTCCAGCCCCTCCAGCGCCCTTGCTCCCCTTGCCCTTGCCGGTGCGGCGTCTCGCGCTCAGGGCAGACGCAGCGCCGACCGACTCGAAACCAACGAGGTCGGCCGCAACAGCAGAGGCAACAGAGGGCAAGAGGGGGGAGGGAGAACACCCCTCAACGACGGGGGTGTAAGGGTCACCACGAGAGGCTCCTACAGCGACTATACTCTTCTCTGATGCTAGGAGGGCCTTCTCGAGGAGGTCAACGGTGAGAGTGGTGGGGCAAAGTGAGAGGAAGTGGTCCCTGACTACGCGGAGAGAGTTAGGGAGCCGGGTGACTATGTAGTAGAGGGTGATGTACATGGGGGGGGGGGGGTTCTTGGCGCAGAACCCAGCAGGAAGTGTAGCGCGGTAGCGAGTGTCACTAGTGCGGAGGTGCATAATGAGGTCAGCGTATGTGGGAAAGGCAGTAAGGTCTGAGAAGAGGTACGGTAGCATGAGGCGGCTCAGTGCAGCAGTGGCAGGGGAAGAGTAGCGTGCAACTACAGTGTCGTACAAGGTCTGAGCACTCTTGTACTGGCTAAAGTGTGGATGCTCAGTGGTCGGTAAGTGGCGCCGCACAGCAAGGCGAGCAGCAGCATCACGAGTGGCCCACTGTGAGCAAACAGTGGCGTCAGCATCAGCAGGAGGGGCAGGAGAGGCACCAAAAGTGAGGTCAAACAGGGAGGGACCGTTTGCCCTATCGCACTGTAGGAAAAGCTGCAGATCATCTACCCAGACGTCAAAGTCAATGGCCCGATCCTCAGCGTCAAAGGTGAGAACACTAGGGGAGGCCATGACAGCAGTAGACAGGCAGTGAGTAAAGTGGGGCAGGGCAATGCAGTGGCAGAGACGCTGCTCTTTCCAGGCAAGTGGGGCGGTCGGGCGGTTCAGCGGCTCGGCGGCTCGGTTGCTGGGCGGCTCGGCGATCGGGCAGCTCGGCTGCTCGGCGGCTCGGCTGCTGGGCGGCTCGGCGGTCGGGCGGCTTGGTTGCAGGGCGGCTCGGCTGCTCGGCGGTTCGGTTGCTCGGCGGCTCGGGCGCTGGGCAGCTGAGCGGCAACGGGGCCGTGGAAGGGCGGCGATGGGCCCGCTGAAAGGGCGGCGATGGGCCGCTGGAAGGGTGGGCGGCGACGGGGCCGCTGAAAGGGCGGCGACGGGGCCGCTGAAAAGGGCGGCCACGGGGCCGCTGAAGGGCGGCGACGGGGCCGCTGGAGGGCGGCGATGGGGCCGCAGAAGGGCGGTGTCGGGGCCGCGGAAGGGCGGGCGATGGGGCCGCTGTAAGGGCGGGCGATGGGGCCGCTGTAAGGGCGGGCGGCGAGGCCATAGAAGGGCGACGACGGGGCCGTGGAAGTGCGGCGACGGTGCCGCTGAAAGGGCGGCGACGGGGCCGCTGAAGGGCGGCAGCGGGGCCACTGGAGGGCGGCGACGGGGCCGCGGAAGGGCGGTGTCAGGGCCGCGGAAGGGCGGGTGACGGGGCCGCTGTAAGGGCGGGCGGCGAGGCCGTGGAAGGGCAGCAACGGGGCCGTGGAAGGGCGGCGTCGGGGCCACTGAAAGGGCGGCGACAGGGCCGCAAGAAGGGGCGGCGACGGGGCCGCGTAAAGGGCGGCGCAACGTGGCCGCAAGAGCGGCGCGATAGGGCCGCAAGGGCAGCGCGACGGGGCCGAAAGGGCGGCACGACGGGGCCGTTAGGGGCCGTAAAAGGGGCCGCTAGAGGGGGAACAACACGGGGCGCGACTCGGGCAGGGGCCAAGCGTGCTCCGGGCAGGAAAAAAAAATCGGTGGGCCCTAGGAACAATTCCCACGAGGGAACCAGCTCTATACCATGTGAAGATGAACTATGAAAGAGTTGGGTACAAGTACTAACCCTAATTGGGTTGTACCCCTTATGGGCTACCCCAATATAGCCTACACAAATGTATAAGCTATAATGTTCCGACAGATCCCCCCCTCCATCCCTCGGTGGATCCCCTGTGCTGTCGAACATCGCCCAAGGCAATTCTGCTTGGGGGGGTGAATGGCGATGGAATGGCAACGGGACCAACGTTTGCCTGTAGATGAAGCTCCCGACCCACTTTCCTACCTTCACGATTCCATTCGAAATGAATGAAAAGGAGGGCGTTTGACTGGACAACATGATTACGTTTGGTTCGGACGGAATTATAGGCTCGGCAAGAATTTCGCGGGCTGACCTGCTTGACGGACCCTAACGAACCCTAACGGACGCGATCAGGAAGTCAAGACTGACCTTCCTGATCCCGTCATTTTTCTTGTTAAAAGTGCTGGCGAACAGCGCCGCCGTCGCCACTTCTTTCCACCAAACACCCCAAGCGAGAAAATTCTGCTGGTAGCATTTATCAGCCATGTTTCGTGACTTGCACCAATGCATACCTCTATGGCGTTCGTCTGGGATAGGGCGAAGTCAGGTTGTACAACCTTCTGTACGCCTACTGCGTTGAACTTTGTTTCAACACAGTGCAGAGCGGTACGAGGCGAGAACCGCTTCCCACCTTTGAGGACCATCCTGAACCACGAAACATGAACTGTAAATGCGTGAGAATTGTATAACCTGACTTCACCCTAACGTGTAAAATGGTAAACCACGCAACAATCTGGACAACTGATTGTCGTAGTAGTAAGCGTCTTGCGTCAGTAGCGTTTTGCGAAATTGCCCAATTCATGCCAGTTAGGGTTTCTGCAGCTGCGAGCTTCCTTCTTCATTCAAGTCTAACTTATTTTCCATTGTAGCGTCGATTTCATCATGGAATCTACTGTATTGTTCATTATCTGACTTGCGGGAATCTTGCGGATGCCCGGAAGAAGAATAGTTGGTCGGGCTGCGGCCTCCAAGAGAATGACAATCTATATTGCCTTCACAATCTACGGAATTTTCGCCGTCATATCGGGCCTGTCTTCGTGGACCGCTGTGACGGCATGGTCAGGTACGCATTCGAAGCCATAGCAAAGGTACGCGTTGCAAAGCATTGTCACGTACGCGTTAAGGGATGGCGAGGTGCGCGTTATACGGCATGACGAGGTACGCGTTATAAGGCATGCTGACTCATTTCGAGGCACTACTAATAGTGGTCAACTTCGCCCGTTTCAAGGCATGGTGAGATATAAACCCAAAACAAGTTAACATAAGATCAGCTGATAGAATCAGAAGCACCCAAAGAAAACAATGCGATTTTTGTTTGCAACACCTTCAGCTACCACTGAAGGGTTTCCATGCCAATCACACTCCCTCTTCCTTTCTTCGCAGCCCCACTTCCCCCACACTCCCCCCTCCCCCTCATCCTCTTCCTTCCTTGTTACAATCACAGAGCAACACTCAGCATCAATCGGGCACCACGCATCAAGCATGGGTCACCACCATCATTATCACACAACCAGCCCACACATCAATTCTTTCAACCAAAATCCGTCTCAATACAGTCACATCTAGTACACTCCCAACCACGGATACAGTCATGACGAACGTGACATGCTGCATCGGGCTGAATCAGTGCAGCAGCAGCGTGAGAGGGACAGTCAGCCCCCGCCGCTCTTCACTGCTGTGGCTGCCGCTGCTGCGTTAGGCGAATCCTTTGTCCTCGACTTCCCTCTCACACGGGGTGCTGCTACAAATGCTGCTACAACTGCTGCCACAGCTGGTTACACAACTGCTGCTGCTACAACTGGAGCAGCGAGGCTGCAAGCCCAAGGGAGGAGGAGGAGGCAGTGAACGGTGATCATCGGGCCAGTCTCCTTGTAACGGGCCGCTATAGCCGCAGGGTACCAGCTGTCTCAGAAGCGCCCGAAAGGGGCCCGCAGTATGTGGCTCAAGAGAGTCTTCATAGTCCGAGTCAAGTCGGCCGCTGATTTTGCAGTCAGTGCCTCTCTCCCGCCCACCGCCACCGTTATTCTGCATTTACAGAAAAATTTGATGCTGCCTAAAGGGGTTTTGTTCAGGAGGTAGCAGTCTTGCACGATACTCATGTTGGCAAAATGGCCCGGTTACACGCTGACGGGTGGTAACCCTATGTGTCCGGTGCTGCGCGTGTGGAACACGAGTAACGTCATGTCGCTGAACGTGAACTATCGCCTGCCGGTGACGGAGAGCAGCCTCGACTGCACCACCGTGCCCGAGCTTGGCAAGGCCGTCACCTGCCCCGCCATTTCCATCCATCCGTCCTACGGCGTGCAGATTGGCAAGGTGAGCCCCTCCCTTGTACCTGCTTTTCACTCTCCCTTCCTTGTCGTTTATCCACACCTCTGTTGATGAACGTGAATTATAAGGTGCTAGTGATGGAGGGCATTCCCGAGTGCACATCCCCGAACTTTGAATGCTTGCGTGCGGTGAGTTGAGTGTCATTGAACATGAAATATCACGTGCCGGTGACAGAGAGCACCACTAACTGGGCATAGGAGTGGCAAAGGTGGGCAAGGGAGTGGCAGAGCTAGGCAAGGAGTGGCAGAGCTGGGCAAGGGAGTGGCAGAGCTGGGCAAGGGAGTGGCAGAGCTGGGCAAGGAGTGGCAGAGCTGGGCAAGGGAGTGGCAGAGGTGGGCAAGGAGTGGCATGCCCCGCGACGCAGTCTTGATCCATCGATCATATGGCATGCAGATTGACAAGGTGAGTCCCTCCATTCCATCTACTTGTTGCGCTCCTTTCGCATGTCACCCATGATTTTATCCGTGTCCTGTTTTTTAAGCGTGTTTGTGTGTTTTGTCATGTTTGAGGCAAGCATAGAAGCGAGATGCCTCTCACACGTGCTTCCCTTCTCCACCCTCTCCCATCTCGCCTGCCAGCCCGTCTCCTCCATAGGGCACCGTCTTTGGCCCAGTTTACGTGGTGAGAAGAACAGGCACGCGCCAAGACTCACAAAAGTTCCCCTCTCTGGATTCTTCCGGTGGACGTGGTGGTGAGATGATGGAGCACCATAAACTCGTCTCATCCCACACCCACACCCACATGTCTTCCAGCTCCTCATCTTTCCACGTGCCTCCACTCTCATCCCCATTCCCTCTCCTTCTCTTCCCCTCACAGCACCGTTTTTGGCCCAGTGGGCGTGCAACTGAGCATGGCCATGCCGCGTGCGGGTAGACTCACTAACGCTCACTGGAGTGGTTTCTCTCTATTTTTCTCATCCCACACGTCGTCTCAAGCTCCCGCGTGCCTCCAAGCTACCCCCTATCCCGTCTACCTCTCTCCCCCCCAGGGCAACATCTTTGGGCAAGTGGACGTGCTACGCAGCATGGACGTGCGCCTGGACTCACTCTTGGTCACCGGATTGGCTTCCTTTATCAAGTCGCCTAGGGTGATCCGAGTGGCCCTGTGTGGGTACAGGCCGGGACTTCTCAAAGCCAACATTGTCATCTCCAACAATGAGGTGTACGGTGAGTGAGTGGATGCTTCCCAAAGTCAACAAGAGTCAACCAGAGTCAATGAGATTGAAGGTCAGTGAATGGTCCTCACTGTCCCCCCTGCCCCCTTAACCTCTCTCTCCCCATTGCCCCCTTATCCTCACTCTCCCCCTGCCCTCCTGCCCCATTGTCTTGCACAGAGTAGCAGTGGGCACAGCAATAACAGAGAACTACATCCATGGCTATATCTTCTCATCACCATGCTCTTTCCCGCTTTTTCCCTTAACCCACTCCCCCCTCTTTCCTTGCGTGCAGAGGTGAACACCCCCGTTGTGCTGCACAGGGGAGCAGAAGGCATAGCAGTCTCCAGCATCTACATCCATGACCATTGTTTTTGCAGGAAGTCGGCGTGCATGACAGCAATGAATTCATGCTTACTCGCATCATCTCCAATTGATCTCGTCATTTCCCCTCCGCACCCCTCCCCTCCCCCCTCACCTTCTTATGCCAAATCCCCCCATTTGCCCCCTCTTCTCGTTTCGCCTTCTTCCGCTCTCTTTCCGTTGCCTGCAGGGGTGAACACTCTGACTGTCTTGCACAGGGGAGCGGCGGTGGGCATCACTATGACCAACAAGTACATTCACAACTACGTTATCGTTGGGATTCACTGCAGCACTGCAGCGCCAATGTGCATTGCAGCGGTGACTACATGCTCACTCGCATCAACTCCAGCCTTGTTTATTCTAACAACGGGGATCAAGTCTCGGCAAGGATTTACCACTGTCGTAGTGGTTGAACTCTATTTTTCTGTACTCTTTCTCCCTTCTTTCCCTCGATTGCAGGGGTGAACACTCCGATCCTCTTGCACAGGGGAGCAGTTGATGTAACCGTCAGGAAAAACTACGTGCACGACTTCATATTCGCTGGAATCAAGTGCGGTGCCAACGTGCATTACAGCTTTGCGTGCATGCTCAGTCGCTTCAACTCCAACCTTGTGGTTTTCTCTGGGAGGAACCTGAACGGGGATCACGACTCGGATGGGATCGACTTCTACATGCACTGGTTTGGTCCGGGGAACTCGGCGCTGTGCAACTACGTGTTCAACAGCGATCACTGCTACTATCTGGACCATTGCTCGTCGGGCGTGCTTGTCAGAGGAGGCGCGTGCGTGAATACGTATGACGGTATGAAAGTGAACAACGACAAGCGGTGAGGAGGGACTGTGGAGATCCAGTGGTGTGCAATCATATGTTCAGTTGCGTCCTTCAGGACCCCCCTTTTGTCCCATGCCTTGCCCTCAGCAGCTCCCATTGCACAACAACTCTCGATGCCATGCTGCCCTGTACAGCCGTCCACCCATTCCTCCCTCATGTTGACTGCAGAAACGTGATCGAGAACGTGGCGATGAAAGGCACGCGGGGGTCGCTAGGATGGACGTCGTGCTTCACAGTGACCGTCAACAACTGCCTCAAAGACCCCGGCAACTACTGGGAGGCCATGCGCGTGAAATACTACAACAGCGCCCGCATCAACCGGCTGAGTGGGAGCAGAGCACGAAGTGAGCAAAGAGCACATGCCATAGTTTTGCATCCAACTTGTGAGACGCCTCAAAAGTACCGAAATGGACTACTGGGATGCAATGCAAGTGAAATACTACACAACACCCATATCACCCGAGTACGTGAAGAGAGCTGTTACTACTGGGAGGCATCCCTGTGAATATTTGTGCCAGTGGCTGGGCATATGGTGCCCCTGTAGTCGCGTTAAGCCTCGTGCCTCACACACAGCAACCGTATCAACTGGGTGTGTGAGAGTAAAGGAGCAGGTGTTCAGCAGTGAGAGAGTGTGAAGTCACATGTGGTCAAACTTACCAAGTAATCACTACTCCTCCACCCCTTGACCCCCCCTCCATATCATGTGTGCAATAAAAGCTAATGTATTCTTTTCCTTGCCTCCCCCTTCGTCTCCCTTCTCTCCTCTCCTCTCTCCCCTCCCTCTCTCCCATCTCTCCCATCTCCTCTCTCTTTTCCCCCCCTCGTTATTGTCACATCCAGCTATGGCCTTAGATGAAGGACGTCTGCAAGGAAACATTGGCCAATGGCGGCGTGTCATGTAACCCGCCAGGTCAGCCAGGTGCTGACATCACGGGAGCATGCAGCGGGCTGGGAACCGACAATCTCATCGACGTTGTCGCCGTCAACACCACCAACTATGGCCTCGACTGGAAGCACTGCGAGAATTTCACCGTTACGGAAAAGTTGAATCGGGAGATCAACATTTCGCTGAGTCAGCCTCTTGCTGCGGGCTTTCGGGACTACACAGGGAATGATTTGGGGCTGGAAAGTATATCTGCAATTTTGAAGTTGCGACCGAATTATTTGAGCTGCCCGTCAGGGCTCGCAGGACCAAGAAAGTTTTCACAGAAGTCTTTTTGTGAGGGTTACAGCATCCCGATGCCAAGGGGGTTATGGAAGGTTGTTACGATGGACATTAAGCATATTATAAATCAGGACTTGATTATCCCCTCTGTTAGAGCTCAGATGATGGCAGCTGGTGATGGGGAGTATTCATTGCTTGCCTCATCTTGAGGCTTATCAACTAAAATCTAACACCGTCACGTTTTTCAAGTTACGAACGCTATTCCATCTTATTCCGAACAAATATTCCAATGTCAGGTGACGCCCTCTCTGCTTTCACACGTGGCCTATTCACGCGTGCAGCATTGCCCACACACAAGCGATGCCGCGAACCTGCCTTTACGCTTGCCCTCTCTCCCTCCCTTCCTCCCCCTTGCCTTACACCCATCCCCTTCCCTTACCCCATTCCCTTTTCATTACCTTCTCCCCTTCCCTTTATCCCCTACCTGTTCACTAATCCACCCCCCCTTCCCTTACCCCCTCCATGAACCGCATCCCCTTCCATTTTCCCTTTCTCCTTTTCCCACCCCTCCCTTCACCCAAGTCTCCTTACCCCAATTTCCTACTATGGCACCAGGCTCTGCCACGACCCGTCCCGCAGCTCACTCCTGGCGAATTCAATCCTCGCGGGCTGATTGGAATGGCTGAGCTTGTAAGGAGTGCGGTGCGTAGTACTGCAGGCATCACTGCTCCAGCCGGACGATGACCGTGCCTCGCCTTACACTCGCCGTTGCACCACCGCCAGTTGTGCCAGTGCTGGAGACGTAACGATTGCCCCCTCAGCTGTGCTACTGCGTCTCTTGCACTCCCACTTGTTGCCTGCCTGCGTGCCACGTGCCCCTTGCCTGGAAGAACCTTCACGATTCCGGGTCGTCCTTATGATCACTCACGTTACGCCCGCCTGCCTGAGCCCTCCTGCTACCCTTCCCACCATGCCATTTCTCCCTTTTCTCGTTTCCTGCTCCCTCCGTATTCCACCCCCCGTCAACCTCCCCCCCTCTCCCTCACTCCACACATGTCACTCCGCCGCTAACTTCTTCCTGCCCCACTGCACTCACTCCCGCCACTTCCCTTACGCTTTTGGCCCTTATGGCCCGGCCACACTGCTCTTGCAGCACCACACTCTGTCAGAATGTTATAATTATCTAGCCTGTAGTGGGGTGCTCTATAGCGAGTACAACACTGTTAGGGTTTGCTATATGTATCCCAACTGCTGCTAGTGAACTCCTCCTCTCTTCTTCATTCCTCATTCTTCACACACTCTCCCCTTCCCTTCCTATCCCCCTCCCTCCCCTTCCCCCCACCCCTCTCCCCCAACACAGATGCTTACCCCTAGGCAGCGGGTGCACTGACTACTAAGGCATTATCACCTCCCTTTGACATGCCCTCCCTCTCCGCTATGTTGCCAGCGCACTGTTTACAGGTTGAAACGGCTATACCCTGTGCCCTTGGGGCAACCTGTGCGTCACAAGCATGTCAGTCTGAGGTCAGTTTCAGGTCAGTTTCAGGTCAGTTTTCAGGTGAATTTCAAGGGGGTTTCAGGTAAGTCCCAGGTGAGTCTCGAACGAGTCTCTGGACTCACTCGCGCCACTTTTGTTACGCTCTGCAGCAGCCTGTGCCCTCGGGTTAAGCTGTTGGTCACAAGCAGGTCAGTTGCAGATTAGTCTCAAATGAATTTCAAGTGAGTCTCAGGTCAGTCTTATGTCAATCTTAGGTGGGGTTGAGAACGTACCAAAATTGAGTCCAACCGGTCCACTAGTCGAAGAGAACTAGTTTGATCGAGTCGAGCCAACACCAAGGTTCATAACCGAACCCGTTCGGTAGCAGCATCTCCCGTGGATCTCAGCGAAATCTGCAATGTTCATGCACTTGGTGTCCCGGTTTCCATGTCAAACCTCTTTGTTGTGTTTGTCGCGGCTCAGCACCTTAAGTTAAACCAACCAAATGGGTTGGCCCACTTTTGATCTGAAGAGATTTCTACTCTAACGGCAATTGGAGCTCTACGGAATGCTATCTCTGCAGCCACGCAATTTTTGTTGTTCACTAAGGAGAAAATTAGCTAAGTGTTGAAAAAGGCATAGATTTGGCACACACAGAAAAAATCACTAGAATTGAATGAAAGATAGAATACAAGGGATAAAGAACTACCCAACCACTGAACCTACTAAGAGAACGTTTAGATTACTACTTAGTTGTGCTTTGCCAAGTTAGCATCGGCAGGTGAAAATTACAACACATGCTTAGTTGGTAATTCTTTCCTACTCAAAAGTAGTTATTTAAACTGTTCAGGTTGTATTAAACATCATTTGTAACGCACGTTTTCGTAGTTACGAAAACGTGCGCCAGGTACAGTTTGCTCAAGTGGTTCAATTCACCCCCAGATTGAATACCCCAAGGTCACGCACTGTTTCCGGGGGTCAATCTCTCAATGTCCGCAATGTTCCGAAATTCCCACGCAAAAGTTCCGAAACGATCGCGTTTTCGCGTTGGAGATCTCAAGAGGACGATTCTATCTCGTCCATCATTCTGGTGGGGCAGGGTGTGGCAGGGGCACAGTGCCGTCAATCACTCACATCCTATGCAGCTCCTCTCACCTTCGTGTTGGGCACCACCATTTGCCCCCCACAGTCAGCTGAGAGGTCCATCGCATTTATTCCAGCGGCTGCCTGCCATGATGCAGAGGTGCATTCACATTCACCCACCATGACGATGAGAGTGATGAGAGGGACTCGCGGTGACACACGAGCAGCACGCAGAAGAATTGGTTGTGTTTCGCCATCCCTCTCCTCCCCAAATCCAAACGTGTGTGTGTCTGTACATCACAGAACGAGGGCCTTTCGAACCCTAGTAATAACGTCCTTTGCCTTGGCTCACAACCGCGAATGCTTTCATTGATGATGCTTTGAAGGAAGCTGAGGGATGGACGGGAGATTGGTGTAGTCCCAGCTGGGAAGCCCTGAGGAATGGCATGGTGATCATGCAGCTAATATACCTTGGTCCAGCCCGGTAGCAATCAGCTTCCTGGCTGCCTGGAACCAAGCCAGGAATACACCCTAAGTCGGGAACACACCCTAGGTCAAGAACACGCCCCAGGCCCGTGCAGGCAAGACTGTGGTGGATGTCGTGCTCATTGATGGCCGCCAGTATGTGCCTGCAGCACCTCTTCATTCTTCACACGCCTAAAAGCTTGGCATGATCAGCGGGCTGTCAGTCACACTGTGGCTGCTGCCTCACACCTCTTGCCCTTGCCTCCCTCCCGTGCCCCTGACCCCACTCACCACTGACTGACTTCACCGCTATGAGTGCCGCTGCTGCTGCTGCCCGTGGCTCTGCCATGCTGCCCGGCTGTGTGCCACAGAAAGGAGTTTGCTCCATAAGAGTAGTCCATTGAAGGTGCTGTTGGTGTGGGAAGGGGAAGGGAGTGCTGGCGAGTGGGGAAGAAGGCAAAGGATGAAGGAACGTACTGCTGAGCGAGGAGAAGGAAGTGGAAGATAGCTGCTGATGGCATTACACTCAGGAAATCAGTGCTCTCATTCATCCTCCCATCAGTACTCCAGCGCCAGAAGCACCATGCTGGGCGCGGATGGCATTGCATACGTTCAAGCTGAGATTCAATCTGCTGTGGCAGCACACTGACACCAGAAGTGCTGCTCTGGTTGGAGATGGCACCAACCGAGGGACAGAGAACGTGGATCACACAGTTCATTTAGCAACGTGGCAAAGGTACCTTCCATCTCACTCGGCTTTGCTCACCTCCTCGCTGGCACCATCGTCAACCTGTTGCTGTCCATCGGAAAGCCGTCAGCACAGGCCGTCAGCTGAGAAGGAGCCCATACATATTCCACCTACTTCCTCCATGCAGCGGCTTGTCTGCCCAATGCGGCGACGGCATCAACCCCACCTGTTCAGCCCCTGTCTCGTCTCGCCCAGCTGCTTTAGCCTCATTGCCCAGCCTGCACCTATAGCCCTGATTTTCTACCCCTGCTTGTCTAGCCCTATTGTTCAACCCTGCTGGTTTATGCCTGTCTATCCAATTTATTTTAGTAGCCATGCCAGCCATAGCAGCAACGAGGCCATGGCAGCTTAGGCAGGAGCAACTCCAGTGCTGTGAGCTGCTCATATGCAAGGAGGCACACCTATTGGACGACATGGGTCAAGCAAGCAAGAAAAGGCACAAAGGGCTTGTGAGTGAAGGCCAGTGAGATGAGGTAGTGAAGCGAGCAAAAATGGACACAAGGGGATGCGAGGGAACTAACAAAAGAGGCACAAGGGTATGTGAGTGAAGCTATAAAAATTGGCACAAGGGTATGTGAGTGAAGCTATAAAAATTGGCACAAGGGTATGTGAGTGAAGCTATAAAAATTGGCACAAGGGTCCAGGCGTGAAGTAAGCACCTAGTGCCACATCAGGCAGTGGAACAAGCAAGCAAAGTCTAAGTGTGCGGTGAGCGTGGATCGGACACGCGACCTCCAGATCTTTAGTCTGACGCTCTCCCAACTGAGCTATCCCCGCACATCTGAAACCACGGGGTATCAATCCTCGTACCTCTTGTATGCTAAGCGAGATCTCTACCATCTGAGCTACATCCCCGTGGGAGGCCATTGAGGGCCCTTCACCGATGGCTTGGATTGCAGGAGAGAGTAGGAGAGGATGAATGTAGCATAGGAGAGGATGGGAGAGTAAGAGGGGGGAGAAGGAGAGGAGGAGGGAGAGTAGAATGAGGAGGCAGCAGTGGCACCGCAACTAGCAGCAGAGTGAGAGTGCATAGCCACTTGTCAATGCCATGTGACTCACCGGCTGGTTTTGATGACCCTGAGGCTTGTTACGGAAGGGAAGTTGAAGCTTTGACCAGGCAAGGACGAGCAGATGTCGGACCCCTCTTGCTGCTGTCTCTGTTCATTGGTGTGGTGGTGGGTGTTTGTGGTCACACCCGCGGTGATGCTGGTGGTGCTGCTACTGTAGCTGCATTTGCTGTTGCTGCTGGTGCTTTTGCAACTGCTCATCTATTCAACTTCAATCATCCATTGTCCTGAAACACAGCAGAGGGATCGGAGAGAAGTGAAAAGCAGGATGGTACCACCGAATGCCATGAAAGCGGATAAAACGGGACCGAAAACAATGGAAGGGCAGTGAAAGCAATTTAAGGGTAAGGGGGTGGGCAGTGGGAGAGAGCGGTACGACAGCCCAGCAGGGTCGAGATGTGAATGTCAGTGAAGTGGGTGAGAGAGAAATGGTGAGAGATGGGAGGAGGGGGGGGAGGCACGTGGCTATGTATTAAAAACTTTGTAATCAAGGGCGGTGAGTGATTGAGTTGGGGGAGGGTTGCTAGTGGGAGTTGCAGGTGGGACAGCCCAAGAGGGACCAGTGGGACATGCGAGTGAGGCGGGTAAGCGAGAGTTGGTGAGTGATGAGAAGGGGAGGGGGGGGGGGGGGGGAGGGGGGAAGAAGGGAGCGATGTTGTAGGATGTTGGACCCTGTTAGTCCCGCTTGAACACCACCAACTATACCACATCCGCATCCATAGAAGTGGCAATGGAGCACACACAGAGTACCTGAGAAGTGGCAATGGAGCACAGACAGAGTACCTGAGAAGTGGCAATTGAGCACACACAGAGTACCTGAGAAGTGGCAATGGAGCACACACAGAGTACTTGAGAAGTGGCAATGGAGCACACACAGAGTACCTGAGAAGTGGCAATGGAGCACACACAGAGTACCTGAGAAGTGGGAGAAATGGCAAGAGGATGGGAGGCGGGAATGGGATGGGAAGGGGTTGGGAATGGGGATGGGATGGGGATGGAGATGGAGATGGGGATGGGGATGGGGATGGGGATGGGGATGGGGATGGGGATGGGGATGGAGATGGGGATGGGTATGGGGATGGGGATGGGGATGGGGATGGGGATGGGGATGGGGATGGGGATGGGGATGGGGATGGAGATGGGGATGGGGATGGGTATGGGGATGGGGATGGGGATGGAGATGGGGATGGGGATGGGGATGGGATGGGGATGGGGATGGGGATGGGGATGGGGAAGGGGAAGGGGAAGGGGATGGCGGAGCAATGATGGAGAGTGAAATTTTCGCTATGCACACCAAGAGGGTGACCTGAGGGTGACCTGAGGGTGACCTGAGAGTGACCTGAGAGTGATGAGATAAAGGGGCTGCCTCCACCGTGACATCAAAAGGGTGGGCACAAGAGGCAGAGCCAATAGCAGTGGTGGCGAGCCAGTGGACAAATGAGAGCACAGACTTGATTGGGTAGAGGCAGGTTCGATACAAGGCACTACTCACCTCGGTGTAGAGGTGAGTGATTGTTGATCGGCATGTCAGTGCAAAGATGGCAGGGGATGGACGCTGCTGGCTGCACCATGCACACCAGGTGGGTGGCTGGGGGAACGGGTGGCGAGAAGGAGAGAGAGAAAACCGGGAGGTGGGTGCATGATCGGCTGATTGGAGCAGATTGATGGACGTTGTTGGCTGCACCATGCACACCTGGTGGGTGATAAGAGGAAGGATGGCTGAGAGAGAGACCAGAGAGGTGGTTGAAGGATAGGCGGCGAATGATGGACGCTACTGGCTACAGTATGCACCTGGGGAAGGGGGATCGCTATGAGGATGGGGATGGGCAAGTGGAAAGGCATACAGGCACAGGGCATGCAAATTCATGGCATTCAGAAGAACATGCAGCAAACATGGAGGCACCTTGAAAAACACCACCACACTCATGGCATTAAGACTCTCGCGGATCAGCCTGAAACACAGTTGAATCACCTGACAGTTACCTGACTGACCTGAGAGTGACCTGAGGTTGACCTACTACTGACCTGACCCGAGACTGACCCATAGGTGGCCCACCTTCCTCGCACTACCCACACACACCTCCTTCACCCACCAGTGACCAGTAGTAGTGAGCAGCAGTAGTGACCCATGACAGCCCACCTCCTTCCTTGCCCCACGCATCTCCTCTCCTCCTACCTCAGCTCATCCTTGTAGAACAACACCGCCACGAGACACCCAGTAGCCCGCAACACTCGTGCACCTCCGCCACATCAGCAGCCCGTAGGGTGCGTGTGAATGAACATTGCGCCCACACTGGAAGGGTTGGAGTCTGTGTGGGGCAGAATCCAGGAGTCGGTGCAGGAGAAGCAGGTGTGGAGCTGGTGGGAGTGGGAATGGGAGAGGAGAGAGGGACAGGAGTGAACAGCATAGTAGTGTATGAGAGGAGTACGGGAGACAATGCCGTGGGGGCGCGGGTCCGAGCAGTGGGGCAGAAGTAAGTGTTGGAGACGTAGGTGCGGCGCTGGATAGCGGGGGAGGGGAGGAAGAGGAGCGGAAGGGAGCAGTGCGATGCGTGTATCGCTTTTGAGAATTCTCAAGACAGTAAGAAACGAAATGTGGACCAAAGGTGGGAAACAAAGCTGGAAGCTGAGAGGAGTGGCGGGAGGGGGTGCAGTGAGTGCATTCAGTGCATTGAGTGCAGTGGGGCAGGCAGAAGACAGCTAGGAGTAACAGGCGCGGAGCTGGGGGGGAATGGGGCGGAAGGAATTGGGAGAGGGAGGGAGCGGGGAAGGAGGAAACAAACAGAGCGACACCATGGTGCGACAGTTAGAATGAGGGTTCAGGCGGGCAGGAGCAGCCAGTAAGGACTTTGGGGAAATGACGGGATCAGCTGGGATGGGCTCAGAATAATTATTCTAATTACGACTCGGAATCCATTCGGGTTCGGGGCAGGTGGACGACAAGTGGGCGAGGTGTAGGAGACACACGCACACGGCTGAGGGGGCAATCACTACGTTTCCGTCTGCAAAGCCGTTGGCGGTGGAACAGCGACGGGTGCGAGGCATCATGCCGGCGAGGTGCGGTGCAATCCTCGGCCGTCTTGACACCAGCGGGTGACGTGATGCCCCCACTCGCACATCGCACGCCCAGCCACGCGTGTATTCAACGGGAATGAGTCCCGAGACAAGTCGCATTATATAGTGCGATTTCACCTCCGCTCCTCCCCCCCCCCCCCCCCCCCCCCCCCCCCCCCCCCAAAAAAAAAATCAAAAGGGGTCGACTTACCATCGCCATTGCCATCGCAAAGGCTTCGCCGAACAGCCATCACTCCAGCCTTGAGGCCCCCTCCTACATAGTCTACCCCCCCCATGACGCCACTCTTGAAAAGTTCCATCCTCCATCCCCTCGGTCTTTGCATTCCGCTCCTTCCGCTCCTTCTGCTCCTTCCGTTCTTGATCGCCACGTTATGTGAGGGGAGCATCCATCTTTCCCACACCTTGCTGTGCTCCTTTACGCGGCAATACAGCTCGTTGCTGCAGAGACCTGCCTGCCCCTTCTCTTCTCGTCCTTTCCTTCCGCAGCTTGCCCCCACCAAGCAGGTGTCCCCCTGTCACCCACGTGTGCCAGCCAGATCCGGTGCAGCATGCTCACACGCCCACGCCTCACTGTTCCCCACTCCCGCCTGCTTGCGCCCCTGCGCCATCCCTCGTCTCACTCCTGTCTGCTCCATTCTTCCATTCTGTCTAACTCCCACCTTCGCTTTGACGGCCGCTCGTCAGCTCTGGTCACTGAAACCACTCTTGACCCTGCTGCACTGCACCCCACGTCAGCACCCAGTGCCGCTTCGCCGGCTGCTGCTGCTACTTTGGGAGGATGGGGAAGGGAATAAAGGGAATAAAGGGGAGGATGGGGAACGGAGTGAAGGGGAGGATGGGGAAGGGAATGAAGGGGAGGATGGGGAATGGAATGAAGGGGAGGATGGGGAAAGGAATGAAGGGGAGGCTGGGGCAGGGAATGAAGGGGAGGATGGGGAAGGGAATGAAGGGGAGGATGGGGAAGGGAATGAAGGGGAGGATGGGGGAGGGAATGAAGGGGACGATGGGGGAGGGAATGAAGGGGAGGATGGGGAAGGGAATGAAGGGGAGGATGGGGGAGGGAATGAAGGGGAGGATGGGGGAGGGAATGAAGGCGGAGGATGGGGGAGGAAATGAAGGGAGGATGGGGAAGGGAATGAAGGGGAGGATGGGGAAGGGAATGAAGGGGAGGATGGGGGAGGGAATGAAGGGGAGGATGGGGGATGGAATGAAGGGGAGGATGGGGGAGGGAATGAAGGGGAGGATGGGGGAGGGAATGAAGGGGAGGATGGGGAAGGGAATGAAGGGGATGATGGGGAAGGGAATGAAGGAGAGGATGGGGAAGGGAATGAAGGGGAGGATGGGGAAGGGAATGAAGGGGAGGATGGGGGAGGGAATGAAGGGGAGGATGGGGGAGGGAATGAAGGGAAGGATGGGGAAGGGAATGAAGGGGAGGGTGGGGAAGGGAATGAAGGGGACGATGGGGAAGGGAATGAAGGGGAGGATGGGGAAGGGAATGAAGGGGAGGATGGGGGAGGGAATGAAGGGGAGGATGGGGAAGGGAATGAAGGGGAGGATGGGGGAGGGAATGAAGGGGAGGATGGGGGAGGGAATGAAGGGGAGGATGGGGGAGGGAATGAAGGGGAGGATGGGGGAGGGAATGAAGGGGATGATGGGGGAGGGAATGAAGGGGAGGATGGGGAAGGGAATAAAGGGGATGATGGGAAAGGGAATGAAGGGGAGGATGGGGGAGGGAATGAAGGGGAGGATGGGGGAGGGAATGAAGGGGAGGATGGGGGAGGGAATGAAGGGGGGGATGGGGGAGGGAATGAAGGGGAGGATGGGGAAGGGAATGAAGGGGATGATGGGGAAGGGAATGAAGGAGAGGATGGGGAAGGGAATGAAGGGGAGGATGGGGGAGGGAATGAAGGGGAGGATGGGGAAGGGAATGAAGGGGAGGATGGGGGAGGGAATGAAGGGGAGGATGGGGGAGGGAATGAAGGGGAGGATGGGGGAGGGAATGAAGGGGGAGGATGGGGGAGGGAATGAAGGGGAGGATGGGGGAGGGAATGAAGGGGAGGATGGGGAAGGGAATGAAGGGGAGGATGGGGGAGGGAATGAAGGGGAGGATGGGGGAGGGAATGAAGGGGAGGATGGGGGAGGGAATGAAGGGGAGGATGGGGAAGGGAATGAAGGGGAGGATGGGGGACGGAATGAAGGGGAGGATGGGTGAGGGAATGAAGGGGAGGATGGGGGAGGGAATGAAGGGGAGGATGGGGGAGGGAATAAAGGGGAGGATGGGGGAGGGGATGAAGGGGAGGACGGGGGAGGGAATGAAGGGGAGGATGGGGGAGGGAATGAAGGAGAGGATGGGGGAGGGTGGAAGTGGTGGTGTGCAATTGTTCAACAAATCAATTTGATGGGCAGAGGGAAGGGGGACAGTGCAAGAGAGCCAACTCACGTTTTTCCTTTCCTTAGAACACCCTACTTGGTGCATCATGTCGGGCTGGATAAGGCTGCATGCAGGCGGTTGTATGACAAGGGCTATACATGAAAACATGACTTCCAAACTTAATGGCGTGCTTGTGCCTAGGGGTGAGAAAAATCACGAACGCCTGTTTGGTTCGCCTCGAACACGTTCGAGGCAAACCGAACAGGCTTTTTTTTTTGCCTTAAGTGTTCGGGGCAAACATGTTCGATGTTCGCCCGAACATGTTCGTGTTCAGGGCGCTGCTGCAATTTGCCCCACGTCAAACACGAACGTGTTCGAGGTTCGCCCTAACACGTCTTCACAGGCGAACCCCGAACACCCTTATTGGCTAAAAGTGTTTGCCGAACCGAACAGTGTTCGGTTCGGCGAACGGCTGTGTTCGTGCAGGGGCGAACACAAACATGTTCGTGTTCGCCCCTTGCTCACCCCTACTTGTGCCTCAACAAATTCTACACGTCAATCTAAACTAGCTGGGTGACTCTTCCTGCAGATAAAGCAGCGCAGACACCAACACACCTTCAAACATGGCACATACTTATCCCTCATGTGCTTGCACACTTCATCCCTCATGTAGAGCTACCGCATAAAAGCCCTGTAGAGCTACCGCTTCCAACTTATGGCTTCTGCTGCCTTGCGCTTCCCTCCCTTGCCTACCTACTCACCGTCACCACTGCTAGTGCTGTGACCCTTGGATGACAATCTCCAGATTGTTTCTACAGCCATGAGATGGGCTGATGTGGGAACGGAAAAGGGTGATGAAGGGAGGGAGAAGGGGGGGCGGGGGAGGGTAAGGGGGGGCGGAGGGGAGGGTATTGGGGATGGGAGAGTGTGCAAAAGGCACGGTAGGGGCGATTTGCAGAGAGGGGAGCTATTGACAACTGACCCCACGCCATCATAGCCTTACATCTACGTGACCACTCATTGCACGCTCTTCCCTCCCAGCTCACCAACACCATTGTCACGCCTACTGCTGCTGCTGCTTCTGCTGCTACAGCCTCTGCCATGCAACCGAGCTACGCGTCCCAATCAATAGGTGGGCTCCCCATAACCAGAACTAGGCAATGTGTTGTTGGTGTAGGAAGGGCAAGGGAGTGGGGGGAGGAAAGGGCAAAGGAGATTGGGATGTTGCACCACTGAGCGAGGAGGGTGGAGGTGGAAGACAGCTGATGGCACAGCAAACGGAAAGCAATGCTCAGTTCCAGTGCACCTCACCAGCAAATAGCGTCACAAATTGAACACTTGCACAGACAAACGACGGCGGAAGGGAGGATTAGAAATGAGAGCAATCTATCATTGTGGTGAAGGTACCAACATTGCCGGGTTTCTGGTGCCCATTGAGGGGCCATCAGATGAGATGAGAGGCCGCCAGGTGAGATGCCTTGCCACCTGCAGCCCAGTGCTCTGTTATGCAACTTGGCTGTGTACCACAGCAATGCGCTGAACTCCACATGGCTAGTACGAGACACGCGCTGGAAGGAAGGGAGTTGGGTACATGGGAGAGCAGTCGAGCAATCTGTTGAGTGAGAAAGGAGGAATGGAAGTTCAACTCAGTAAAGTAGTGCTAACATTCACTCTTCCATCAACAAACTAGCGCCAAAACAGAAGCACCATAAAGGGCATAGATAGGCAAAGGCATAGGGAGGTGTTTGAGCAGCAACAAAAGATGGAAGAAGAGAGAGTGGGTGAGAAATAGCTTCAGATAGCTCCGCCTACTGATTATCTTTCACCTGTGCTGTGCACCACCACGTCAATCTGCCTGCCGGTAGCTTAGAATCAATTCAAATTCTTGCCATGTGATGATGCCATGTGCAGTGCGTGCTTGCACCTCTTTAACTTCTCACATGGAGCTTAATCTCCCTGGGTGACCAGCACGCGATGAGCAGAATGCAGCTAACGGCCATTCACACAGAGTCACATCTACAGCTGCTGCTATGTCAATCTTTCCCCCAACGCCTCCCTCATCGCCTGCGTGCACCCACTTCTCGTGTAATGTACCTTAGTCGCTCTGCCATGCTGCCTGGCCATGTGTTGTAGAAATGAGTTGGGCGCTTCATGACTTCACTACAAAAGCTGCATTTGGTGTGGAAAGGGGAGGGGGGATCATGGGGTAGAGCGAACAAGAAGGGGGAGTAATTTAGACGAGGAGGGGGGAGGTGGACGGCACCTGCTGGTTTTGCAATCGCAGAAGTAGCTCTCATATTTGATCTACTTTGGCAGCACATTGGCACCAGAAACCTCGCTGTGGGCCTGGATAGGAGATGGCGCAGGAGGGACAAACAAAGAGCGGCGATGGCTGTTAATTTGCCAAGCTGGCGACGGTATCTTCCATCCCACTTAACTTGGCTCACCTCCAAGTCCGCACCATCGTCAAATTGCCGCTGTCCATCGGGGTCAACCGTCAGTTGAGAAGGAGCCCATACATATTCCACCTGAATATGAACTCCACCTGCTTCCACGATGCAACGGCCGTCTGGCCAATGCGGCAGTAGCATCCACCCAACCTGTTCAACCCTTGTCTCGCCCTGCTGCTTTAGCCCTGCTGCTTTAGCCTCATTGCCTAGCCTGCATCTGTAGCTCTGATTGTCTACCCCTGCTTGTCCATCCCTACTCGTTCAACCCTGCTGGTTTACCCTACGCGTGTACTTCCCCGACATTGTCCTTACAGAGTACGAAGGGTACACGGCGCATGATGAGAAGGACTGGAAGGTCTACCTTGATGCGGCCGCTGAAATGCCAACCGACGTTTGGAGCGTGGCGCAAGAACAATGGGAATGTCGTTTCGACGAGTGAGTCCTATCGAAGTCATTTTGTTTGACTGATCTGTCGAAGTCTTGCTGTTTTAGCGTTTTGTCGAAGACTTGCTGTCGGCGATGAATGTGCTTTCGGTCGAATTCTGGCCTCTTAACTAACGCATTTGTTGCAATGTGCAGCTTCCAGTCGCTGTTGGAGACGGCAAAGAAGGAAGTGAAAGCTGGAACCGACTGGGGAATCGCGCTGTGCGTGGCGATTGGTAAGGTCGCGACGCTTGGCCTAAAGCACGGGAACCTGATTTACCCGGTCCCGAAGGGCATGGCGGCGACACTGCACATGATGGCCATCGCAGAAACTATGGTGAGCTTGTGGGCGGCCTGCAAGAAGTTGTCAAGGGAGGATATTAAGAAGGATGCTCTAGCTGCCACAAAAGCTGCGCTCTACGCCCCGGAGATTGAGACCAAGGCTTGTGTGGCTGCCATTTCCGCGCTCGTGTCCATACTTTTGCACGTCGGCAAGACGTTCCCGGTGAAGCAGTGGCCCGATCAGCTGTATTTGTTGGCTGTCGAAGATCTTGGCTCGACAGACGCCATATTGTTGCAGATGCTGCGCGTGGCAGCACAGGTCTGTACGCAATGGTGATGCTGTTGAGCTGCTGCCCGCTTGCTAGAGGACGCGAGCTATGGCAGCCTGGCTATGCCAGAAGAAAAGAGCAAGGCAAAGCTGGGCGACGAAGATGCAGCGGATACGGAAATGGGCGGGCAAGGGGAGTAGTATAGGCGGGCAGTTTGCGTGGGGTTGTTTGCATCTCTCGACGGTTGTGTTTGTTGTGTCCAAAGTTTGATCGACAGGATGTACATGTTTGATGGTTCTTGACTTTACGTTTTCGATAATGCTTAATAGGTTCATCTAGACGAGATGGTCGCTCAGGAATCAAAAGATGCCATGCAAACTCTGAAAGAACAACCTACTCTAGGTTCCCCCCTCGTCACGGTTGCCCGTCGAACTCGGGCCCTCGCCCAATGTTTTCATGAACTCTTTCCATTTGTCCTTGAACACCATCTCCGCCCATTCTGCGATGCAGAGCTGCACGAGAATGAGCTCCCGCGTGATCCTGAGGCGGGCTTTGTCCTTCTGGTTTTCTTTGTCCTTCTCAGAATCCTCATTGAGAATGAGCCCTTCCGCCAGCATGTTGATCGAGTGTTTCTAGACAAAGGAATCAAGCTTGTTGATCACTGTCGATGTAGCCGCACTGCTGTCGTCGATCCAGAACAACTCAACGGCCCCCATCACAACCTCAATCTTTCGCAATTTCGACTCGACAGCTTTTGGGGTCGGTGGCTTTTCTTTTGTCTAGTCCTCCGCTTCAGGAGGGACGGGGGGAAGAGTCGGAGTGAACTTGTTGAGCTTGACGGCGAAGCCCTTTTTGCATGCATGTCGAAGCTTGTGCCCGTTGTTCAGTAGGCTTGTCCCGTCCCAGTACGACCGCCCCTGCCGCACGATCTCGCAATTGCACCACGGCCACACCACCGCGTCAAATAATGCTTGGTCGAGCTGGGAGCCTACGCTCTGTCGAGCGGGTGTTGAATGTTGGGCTTGCTGTGGTGCCGGGGTGGCTTCCTTGGTTGCCGTCTGCGGCACGCTCTCGCTCTCTCCCACATTCGCAGCTGCGCTTGTCGACGCGGTTTTCTTCAGTGTGTCGAACGCTTTCTGTAGTTGTGCGAGAGCCTCATCCTTTGCCTCCGACTCCGCCTGCAACGCGCCCTTCTCCCGCTCCAATTACTCAACCTTATGCTCGAGGTGGTTGATCTTGATTTCTTTCTTCCCTCCCTCCTCCTTGTGGAGGTTGATCTTGGCCCGAAGTTGTGGGACAAGGTGCTTGGTGTTGAGTTGATATGATGCGTTCTGCACACAAGGTCTCGAGCAATAAGTGGGTTGATTGTTGTTCCATTCCATTGCCTGAACCAGAACAAACGTGGTGACATTGAGAAGAAACCCTGGCAAAATTTGCGTGCGATGATCAAGCTTTGCGCTCAACAAACCCATGCTTCTATGAGCCACTTCTCCGCCTTTGGAAAGATATGCTGTTCGATAGCCTTCAAGACCTTCGCAGGTAATTCGCTCTTTGCCCTTCCAATGTATTAGTCACCCAGTTTTGTCGAGAAACCCGCTTGCAGCTGGATGGCCGGGCGCGGAATGCCTGTGACTTAGGACCTGCGCATCTCGTTCATGTCCCATTGACCCAGCTGCGCGATGGTGTCGAGCTCACAGTTTTTGTCGGCGAGGATCTGTGCCCCAGACCGTTGAAAGATGTGTGTGACTTTCGACAGGATCCACTCCGCGCTCTTCATCGCCCAGGTCACCCATTTGTTGTGAGTCACGTACGGCAACTCGGTCTTGTCCTTGTCGTAGAGGGCGAAGAACAGGTGCTTCTTCGACCACGCTTCCAGATTGCTAAAATCCAAGGGGGCCACAATCTTTTCGTTGTTGTAGTGGAGCGGCACAAGTTTGAAAAGGAAGTGTATCCACATGAACACTGCTCCGAAGCCGCACTGCCGGAAGTCAATGTGTCGAGTCAGGTACAGGTGGCCGAGCTTGTTGTCTTTGATGGTCTTCAAGTTGCGATAGGCGACGACGAGAACGAGGATCGACGATTCCCCCTTGCTGTTCGTGATGGTCGGAAGGACTTGAGTGAACATATTGCAGCAGCGGATCTCGCGGATGCTTATCCCCCTGCCCAGCATGTGATGCGCCATCAGGATCATCACCCTCACAGCCAAGGCCCTACACAGCGACTGACTGGGGTACCCCATCGACTCCCGGAAGTACTCCTTGGCCCAGTGCGGCAGGATGTCTGAAACAAGAATGCGGAACTGCTCCTCTGTGAAAACATCATCGAGCAAGCCCCGGTGTGGATCGACGCACTGCCTGCATTGAGTGGGATGATATAGCGATTCATGGGTGAGAATGTGAGTGAGAAGTTTTAGTCACCGGTGTAGGGTAGGCTACTTACTCGAACTGAAAGTCGTGCAGCTGTCGCAGCTTGACCGCAAGAAGTTGCCGGGCCTCGGTGATGTCGCCCAAGGGTTTTGTGAGTGGCGCGTCGAAGAGTATGGCCTCTACTCTGCACAAGCACGTCAGCGCAATAAGGCGCGCCAGCATCATCGGTAGGGTGCATTTTTTCGGCTTCCTTCCGGCGACTCTGGTCTGGCCTGTATCCAAGGAAGCTGCCTGTTGGTTGGTTTCAGTCGACATGTATTCGACGTACGCCCACAAGCGCCATTTCGTCGTTTTCAGCCCATGCAGGTGCTCCTCGTTACGGAGCGCCTCCCTCCATCTCGGCCCCACATCGTCGTCGATCTCCCTCCCAAGCTCGTCCTTGTGGATCACCTGCTCCTCTTTAGGCACTCCGTTGTTTTTTCCGGGCGCCAGAGTTTTACAGGCCCAAGCTTTGTAGTGCATGAATCCAGAGACATAATTTGGCAGTGTGGAATCATGGTCAACTCCCAGCAGCGGAATCTCATAACAATGAATCTTGCTTTGAAGTGTTCCCGTCGCCAAGTACGGATTGTTTGCGCCCTACTGGTCGCCGAGAATGTGCGCGGCATCCTCTTCTGATATATTTGCCGCGGCAGGGCGCAGACGAACCGGCGGTTCGACATCGTCCGCCTCCTGCTGTTCTCCCGTCTGATCATCCGTCGCTTCGGGGACGTTTCTGGCTAAGTCTGCTCTGCTTGGTCTTGTCGAAGTGCGCCTATGAGCAGCGGGGGTGGCTAGAGAAGCGGTTGTGCCGGCTGGGGGTGGTGGTCGAACCGCAGGCGGAACATCAGAGGCTCTCCTACATTGCCCACCTGTCGAGGCCGGTGCACCAGCTGAAGGTTCCGTCGAGCAGTTGGGTGTCGACGATGGTGCATGGTGAGGTGATGGTTCCTCGTATGTTAAGGGTGCGTTTGTTGTCGAGATGGGTTCTACCACTACATGTATGGATTGCGACGTCGAAGTGACTTCGGTCTGTGCACCACCCACTTCGACAGTAACTGCAATACCCGTCGAACGCTAGTCCATAACAACCGGCTGAATCACTACCGGTATGGCTCGCGACGTCGAGGTGGGCCCTGTCACGACCGGGATGGCTCGCGTCCTCGAGGTGGGCCCTGTCACGACCGGTATGGCTCGCGTCGTCGAAGGGGACGCTGAAGAGACCGGCCTGGCTCCACACGTCGAAGGGGGTGGTGTCGAGATGGATCCAATGCCGACAGGTATCCATCCTACGTCCGCTTGTCGGGAAGGCGCTGTCGTCGACGGATCGTTCTCCATCACTGCCCACCAAAAGCTACCATTTCTCCCTATACCCCGGCCTACAGGAAAAACTCTGGTGCTACAACTCTCGATTTAGGTTGATACCGTGTTTGGGCTGATGTTCCTCCCTGTGAAAATGCTCTCAAGACTGTTACATTTGACGTGGTCGTCAGCAGCTGACGTGACCGTTTGATTGCGACTGACGTAACCCGTCGCCCATTCGACAGTGACAGTTCGCTCGACCGACGAAGCGAAAGGTCGACCGCAGTTGACGTCAGAGTCGATTGCGATTGACAATAGCGCCACCGTGTAGGCGATTGACATGCCACCATGTGTAACCAGTGTTGTCGGGGGTGCACAGAGCTCGACGGCGATTGGCCAATGTCCGTCGAGCAGTGCTCGATAAATGTCCCTCAATTTCCATTATTATGGCTGACATATATATTAGAATACGACATTGAATCCGCGGGTTTCGGAGGGTTTTTTGGTCTGGTCAGCCGGAAATTTCTGGGGGCCCGGAGGGATTTTGGGGGTTATTTGTTTTACCTCAAATGCCATTTGTGCCAGGGCGGGCGGGGTGGCATGTGCTTACATCACCCGTCCCTATATTAACGGGGAGCTTTCATCTCGTTCCCTGCACCGCATTCTTCTACACCCTCAGTGCGAGCTGTAGCCCTTGTTGGTTTTCTTCTTTCTAAAGAATCCCATCAAATAATTCCTTCATTTCTTTGTTTCTCCACTCCACAGTGCTTAGCGCAGCAAGACTGTATTTCCAACCCAACCTATTTCAGCTTTGTTGACAGTACAGCCACTCTCCTGCCAACAACAAATGGCCAACAGTTCGGAATACGAAAACAAAACGAGATACAATTTCTTGTTGATTCCTCACTTCCACTCCTACCTCTGCCAACTCATCCCCACAGTTTATCTCACGGTACTTTAGCATGGCAATGCTGCTCCGGTATCACCAATTCAGGATTTTGCCGTTCTTCTCCTTTCCCGCGTCTCCACCATCTGCGCTTTCCCGCAAATATCGCCTCCCCGCAAATCGTGCTTCTCCCATCACCGCACCTACGCGCGCGCGCATGATGACTCCATTCGCATTCTCCCGCCTCCCCCTCCTCCTCCCCCTTCTCCTCGCCCTCCTGCTTCATTCCGCCTTCCTCTCCCAACACCTCGCGTCGGCCACTCTTGCCATTGGCCTTCGCTCAACATTCGGCGACGCGATTGTCACAATTAGGTCGCACATGCGGTTAGTAGAGGATCCTGCGACGGTGTCGCACGGTCCGTACCATCGGCGGCTTATAAAGATGTTCGCGAAGAAGCCCCTGGCGCCGCCCAAGCTCCTGCCTGGTGAGCCATCGTCGATAATCGGCACTTGTGCCGTGTTCGATCCGTGTTCCCCACCATTTTTTTTCCGCCATTTGCAAATGTTTTCTGTACTAGTGACTCGCATGCCTGCTCTTCCCCTCCTCCCCTCACCCCCCCCCCCCCCTCCACCCCACCGCTCCCCCTCCCCTCCCCTCCCCCCTTTCCCGTTCAATGGGAGTGCAAATTTCCCGCTCTGAGCTCCTAATGAGTCAATCCGCTCTCATTCGCGCTCATCCCCCTCCTCTCCCCGTTCCACCCTTCCGTCCGCCTGTCCGCGCCCACCCGGGCCGCCACAGCCATCGTGGCGTGCATGAACGTGTCGTGCCCGCAGGACGCGGCATGCGCCGAGGACAGCAGCAACTTCCCCTTCTGTAAGTGCAACGGGACCCTCACGCTGATCAACGGCGCGTATGTGCCAGGTGAGATCAACGGCTCGTGTGTGCCAGGTGAGATCAACGGCTCATGCTCCCCATGCTGGCTCCACCCCCCCCCCCCCCCCCCCCCCCCTCCCCCCCCATCCTTTTCTCTCACCACCCAACTCCCGCTCCAGCGTTTCTCTCGCTCTCGCCCTGACCCTGCCCCATTCTTCCTAAACCCCTCCCCCCCTCCTTGCTCTCCCACCCCCCTCTCCCCCCTGTTAACGGGAAAGGAGTGTTGGCCCCGCCCTCGCTTGGGCAACGCCGACAACTTGGTCGGATGTACGGGAGAAGCAGCCGACCGCCCACAGTGGGATAGCTTCTCGACAGGTTACGTCGAGCTGCAGCGGACCGCTGTGGTGTTGCTGTCGACCAGGATGCTCGACAGCTGCATATGACTGGCCTGGGCGACGGGTGAGCCGTCCGGGAGGTCGACGAAGCAGTCCGTCGACCTACAGTTCGACCGGGAGGTCAACGGAGCGTCCTGTCGAGCTGCAGCTCGACCGGGAGGTCAACGGAGCGTCCCGTCGAACTGCAGCTCGACCGGGAAGACAACGGAGCATCCCGTCGAAGTGCAGTTCGACCGGGAGGTCGACGGAGCAGTTCTGATCGACGGAAGGGGTCCGTCGACCAAGGGGTAGCTTGACGTGAGGTGTGGTCGACCAGGAGCTCCCGGTGGTCGACCAGAGGGACCCAGTGGTCGACGAGAGGCACCTGGGAGTCGACCAGAGCACCAGGGGTCGACCAGGTCGATCGGGTAACCTGCTCGACGAGTTCTGCGGAGGCACGCGAACGTCGTCAAGACCGCGATGGCGCAGGCAACTTCGGGCTGGTATCCCGAAGTCGATGTGGCTCGTCAGGCGCAGACAACAGCCGACGGATGCCCAACGAGGCAAGTCGGGCCAATCGTCTGCGCACACCTGGGAGCGCGCGCACTGCTGTGTTCTACGGGGCACGCCGTCGACCTGCTTTGTTGGCAGGTCGCCCTTCTGCAATGCTGGCGCGGCTCCTCTACGCAGTGCTGGCAGGCGGTCGACCGAGCTGCGTTGGCGGTCGACTAGGCTAGCTGCAGGGTTGCTAGGTGCCTGATATAGTCATTGTTGTCATTGCTGCTTGCATCATTCTGGAATTCCAACTTTGCTAGTGGAAACTCTTGCCAAGTTCTTCCGTGAATGTGCAAACACTAAGGAACTAAGCAAAGCTAAGATCACCTCTAGTAGTTCGTGCCAACCCCTGTAGTCTAGCTCACTACCGTTGTAGAGTTAATCTCCTCACCCCCTCCTTGATCTCCCAACCCCCCTCCCCCCGGCCAGCCATGGACGGGCAGGTGGTGGCGACGAGCGTGCTATTATTCGCTACCGCCAAGTACGTCCCAGCGTCACCCGTCGTGCTGCGCGGTGCCATCCCTAACCGCACGTGCGTGAACCTGCCCGCGCCACGTGCGGTGCGGGCGCCGTGGGGTCGCTGCGCATCCTGTGGAGCGTGAAGGACAAGAGCAGCGGCTTTAGCCGCGTAATGTGCGGGAAGGTGCTGTTTTGGAACCAGAGCGACTGGAGCGGCTCGTCGTTGGCCTTTGAGGTGCCGGCCGGGTGGAAGAAGGCTGATGCGGCCAAGACCACCTATGCCACCACCAGCAAGTGAGTGAGCGCGCAGCACTCGGTGACCAACTATTGTGTTGATGTTCCAGCTTGGGATTCCACTTGGCTATCCCTCCCAACACCTCCCAACACCTTCCAACTATCATTTTTCAAATAGTTCTGAAAATCGTCAAAGGTCAACTTAAGGTGAGTGTGCCGCATTCAGCTGTTGTGCTGCCAGCGTCTTCTGTTGTCCTCTGCTCCCTCTACCCATGTCATTGCCCTGTGCTCCCTCTACCCATGCCATTGCCATGTGCTCCCTCTACCCATGCCATTGCCCTGTGCTCCCTCTACCCATGCCATTGCCCTGTGCTCCCTCTACCCATGCCATTGTCCTGTGCTCCCTCTACCCATGCCATTGCCCTATGCTCCCTCTGTACCCATGCCATTGCCCTGTGCTCCCTCTGCCATGCCATTGCCCTCTGCTCCCTCTGTACCCATGCCATAGCCGTACCCTGCCCTCCTCCTCCTCTCCTCTGCTCGCCCGTGTGTCCACCGTACCCCCCCCACCAGGGTGGCAGCGGGTGTGGTGGCGAAAGCGTTGTCCATGTCGTGCCTCACCGCCACCGCCCCCAAAGGTACTGTCATAGCACGGGCAGCACGTGCTAGTAGCACGGGCAGCACGTGCTGTGGTAGCACGGGCAGCACGTGCTGTGGTAGCACGGGCAGCACGGGTGCTGGCAGTGGGGCGTGTGAGACTGCGTGTCCGGCCAACTCGGTGTGTGTGGGGGAGAGCACTGGCGCCACGTGTAACTGCGTGGTTGGCTACACCAAGGTCAACGAGCAGTGCTAGGGTGAGCGGCACGGGTCCTTCTCTTGTTCTCATTTGCCCATCTCATTTCTTCCCCCGGCATCCATTTACCTGTGCCTTCATGCTCCTTTCCCCACCCCCCTTCCCCTTCACTTCCCCCACCAGCAAGAAACATCTGTTTAAACGTCACCTGCCCTGCCAAATGCAACTGCTCCACTTCCGATGGCGTTCCCAAGTGCTCCTGCCCAGGTAGTTGCAACGTCGCTATGCGCTCCTGCTCAGGTGAATGCTACAGTGCCTGTTCTCCTGCTCGGGTAGTAGCAATAGTGCCAAGTGCTCTTTCACACCCCTTCTCCTCACACCCCTGCCCCTGCTCTTTCACAGGTCCTTCTCTTGTTCTCATTCGCCCCGTTGCTCGTCTCTTTTTCACCTTTGCCTTCATGCTCCTTCCACTCCCTCTCCCGCCACCCGTTTCCCCACCCCCCTTGCCCACCCCCCCACACCACACCAGTGGTGGACATGTGTAAGAACGTCTCCTGCCCTGCCAAATGGAACTGCTCCTCTTCCGCTAGCATTGCCAAGTGCTCCTGCCCAGGTGATTGCAACCGAGCCGAGTGTTCCTGCTCAGGTAGTTGCAACATCGTCATCCGCTCCTGCCCAGGAGATTGCATCAGTGCCAAGTGCTCCTGCTCAGGTGATCTCGATCTAGATGTTGACACCCCTTCCTGCTCAAGTGCCCTTTCATACCCCTTCCTCCACATCCCTCCCCCACACCCCCTTCCTTTTCAGACGCATGCTACGGGGTCAAGTATCCGGACGTGTCCACGTGTGCGGTGCAGTTCGGTACAGCGGTGTGCCAATGCCCCATGCCCTACACGCGCCTCATTAACAACGCGTGCTTGTCGGCCGACCTCCCCCACTCCGACTACCTCGATATGCGCAACCACGCCCGCGCTGCCGTGGGAGCTGTGCCACTCGAGTGGGACAACACATGTGAGTGTGGGACGACACATGTGAGTGTGGGACGACACATGTGAGTGTGAGACGACACATGTGAGTGTGAGACGACACATGTGGTGAGACGACATATGTGAGTGTGGGACGACACATGTGAGTCATGTCTATGCACATGCTATGCACATGTCATGCACATGTCATGCACATGTCATGCACATGTCATGCACATGTCATGCATATGCCATGCACATGCCATGCATATGCCATGCCCATCTCAGTCCACCACCACCATGCATCGCCTCTCATCACCTCTCCTTCCCTTCCCCCCTCGTCCTTTGCTCCCAGTGGCGGAGCACGCGCAGGCATAGGCGACAGCGCTGACCAACGCCAGCAACAAGTGCTACGTCGTGCACCGCGGGCATGACAACGAGGGGCAGAATCTTGTTGTCACCGCCCCCTCAGGGTGGGCATTGAATGCAAGGGGAGTGCACTTCTGGGTGGACGAGGGGCAGTGGTACTCCGTAGATGTCTTTCCCAACAGCTGTGAGGGCGGGTGGGAAAAGTGTGGGCATTACACGCAGCTGGTGTGGAACGACACGCGCAAGGTGGGGTGTGCCAAGGCATCGTGCGCGCCCAGTGCAGCCGTGTGGGGGGGAGGCTCCACTGCCGACGTGTGGGCGTGCCACTACTACCCGCCCGGCAACGGGTTCGGCCATCTGCCTTTCGGTGAGCACCCTCTATCGCAAGCGCATCAACTCTCTATGCATGCTCTTCTACACACCCCTTGCCTCCACGCCTTTCATTTGGTCACCAGCTGCCCTGTGGTGGTTGCGCCGGTGGCTGTGCCGGGGTGCTGGGCTGCAGGCATGATGAAGTGCGAGCTTCAACCGTCTGTTTTCCCAACCGAGAACCGAGTCCCTCAGCTGTGCTGTGCGGTGCGGTGCTGTGCGGTGCTTGTGGCCCATGGGCTGTACTCAATGCCCTCACCCTTCCAACCCGCATCTCTCTCAGCATTCCACATCTGCTTCCCCCATCCCCTCCCGTCTCCAACCCCCCCCTCGCCCTGCCCCCCCCCCCCGGTAGTGCAAGACCCGTTCTACCGAGTGCAGTGTCTGTCCACGGCCACATGCACGGTGGTGGACAAGAAGCCCCTCTGCGTGTGTGCTGCAGGCCAGGCACTCGTCAACAACTACAAGTGCCTTTCAAGTGCGCAAACACCCCTTCCCGTCCCTTTCCCGCCACCCCCCTTGCCCATTCACCCCCCACACCAGAGGTGGACATGTGTAAGATCGTCAGCTGCCCATCCAACTGCAACTGCTCATCTTCCACTGGCATTGCCAAGTGCTCCTGCCCAGGTGATTGCAACAGTGCCAAGTGCTCCTGCTCAGGTGATTGCTGTAGAGCCAAGTGTTCTTGATCAGGTGCTTGCAACAAAGATGCGTAATCCTACTCAGGTGATGGTAACAGAGCTGAGTGTCCTACTCAGATGATTGCAACATCGTCATGCGCTCTTGCCCAGGTGATTGCTACAGTACCAGTTCTCCTGCCCAGGTAGTAGCAACAATGCCAAGTGCTCGTTCACACCCTTTCCTCCGCATCCCTCCCCCACACCCCCCTCCCTTTTCAGACGCATGCTACGGGGTCAAGTGTCCGGACGTATCCACGTGTGTGGTGCAGTTCGGTACAGCGGTGTGCAAGTGCCCTGCACCATTTTCACGTCTCATCGACAACGTGTGCTCCTCGGCCGACCTCGCCCACTCCGACTACCTCGACGTTCACAACAACGCCCGTGCTGCTGTGGGGGCCGTGCCACTCGTGTGGGATGACGCAGGTGAGTGAGAGTGAGTGAGCTTCTTTCCCCTTCTTCCCATTGTTACACTACCTTGTGGTGCCTGTGTGGCAGCGAAAGCAGACTGATGCATGAGTGCATGCAGGCATGCATCATTGTGCTTTCCTCTCCTACGAATGCCTCTCGGGCGGACATGCCATGCACATGCCATGCACATCACGGTCCACCACCACCATGCCTCACCCCTCCTGTCCCTCTCATCACCTCTCTTCCCCTTCCCCCATCTTCCTTTCCCCCCCAGTGGCGGAGCACGCGCAGGCATGGGCGACAGCGCTGACCAACACGTCGTAAAACTGCTCCATCGTGCATGGCGGGCATGACAGCGAGGGGCAGAACCTTGCCTCCTCCAGCCCTTCGGGGGTCAAGACGGGCGCAGACGCATCGGGGTGGTGGGTGAACGAGGGGCAGTGGTACACCGTGGCCATGTTCCACGACGGCTGTGCGGGGGGCAACTGGGCCAAGTGTGGGCACTACACGCAGGTCATTTGGAACAACACGCGCAAGCTGGGCTGTGCGAAGGCGTCGTGTGGCACGGGTACAGACGTGTGGGCGTGCCACTACTACCACTGGGGAACTACGGCGGCCAGTGACCCTACGGTGAGCGCCGTGTTCCTCAAGCCCCTCAAGCGTCATCCTTTTTCATCTCCACACACGCCTTCCCGCCTCCCCATGCCTTCTTCTGTGCCCGCACCTTTTTTGGTCAGCATCGGCTGCCCTGTGCTGGTCGTGACTGCGCCATTATGCTGTGCTGTGTATTTATGTGTATTTCATCTCCGGCGCGCGTATTTTTGCTCCTTCTTGTCCGCAGTTGCCCTAGCCGCCCACTTCGGTGCTTTATTGCAGTTCTCATCTTGGTGAGAAACGGGGTCCGTCACTGTCACGTCGCACATCCAAACTTCTCCCGTCCGGGGATGGCGGATTGCGACGTCCGCCTTCAGGTTTTCAACGAGAGAGTATACATAGGTTTCTTTGTGCACCGTGAATCCCGCCTCTGCCGCAATCAAAGCAATCTCGTCCCTGAGCGCATGGTGAGTCGCAATCCTTCCCCCCCCTTTCTCGCAGCGCATGAGATGGTTTGGGAGGCGGTCATCAGGGAATTTGGTGCGGTAGCGGTAGTCGCAGCGCCTTGGGACAGGTAGGGGGAGGCCCAGGCGGAACGCAGCAGCGGAGGAGAGCTGGGAGGGTCCCATCCTAAGCGAAGGTATGATGGGTAGTGCCAGCAGCCAATCTCCCGCACCAGGGCCGAGCACCGGCTGCATTCTCTAGGCATGGCCAGAGAGGGGGTTGGGGCGCATCCGCCTTGCCTCGTTCATGACCCTCAGGAAGCGGCGTGTCTGAACCGCCAGCGCTAGAGACTGCTGCAGCTTGAGGCCCTCTGGGTCTGCTTTGCCGGCCTGGAGAGCTTCTAGAGCCTCGGGGGGGAGGGCTGCTTCCGCTGCTGCAATGCGTGCAGGCAGGGCGTGCGCGGAGCCTGCTGTGGGGTCCATTAGGGGGAGGAGGGCTGCTACATCTGGGTGGAGTGCCTCGGCCAGGGAGTGCAGTAAGTGGGAGGTGCCCACCACCGACGCAAGGTACGCATAGCTCCCTTCAACTGCACGATTTGTAATGCCAAGCCCCCCCAATGTTACGGGCAGCGCCGCTTGCCTCCAGATTCTCCTCTGTTCCGCGTCACTCCTTGGCAGCATGATATGGGCTGCGTCCAGGAAGGTATGCAGCAGCTGCTCCCCCCATGCCGCCCATTCATCCTCAGGTAGTGCCTCTAGCGGAGTGGTTCTGGCCAGGAAGGATGCTCGCCGGCCCACGCAGCGGGTGAGTAGCAGCAGGCACAATTGGGGGTCCATTTCGGCCAGGAGCGGCAAGGGTTCTGCTGCTACTGCAAGCCTTTCCCTTACTCTGGCGGCACAGCCATCTGAGGTCTTGATTGGGCTTTCTAATATCCGCAGTCCGTCTGCTGCAATGGGGAAGCTCGGAGGGAGAGAGGCGGGGTCTATGGCGGTTGCAGACCAAGCCTCACACTTCCCAAGGTTATGCTCGAGGCCTATGCGGATCAGCGTGGCAGTGAGGTATGTAAATGCCGCCGTGCACGCTTCTGCTTCGCCTAGCAGCGTTATGTCATCTGCATAGGCGAGAATGACGACCCTTGGGTGAGCTAGTGCCGTTGCGGTAAGGTGTGGGTGGATGCTTGCCGCAAAGAGCAAGGGGCCAAGAGGGTCCCCCTGGCGGACGCCTCTAGCACTTAGCAGTGGAGCCACGCCGAAGTCATGGTCGAGGTAGAGTGCTGAGGGAGTTCCGTAGGAGAGGCGGACAAGGGGCAGAAGGCTTTCAAGGGACCTGTTCTTGAGCCCCTCGAATACCGCCGCCCTTTCCACCGCATTAAACGCGTTGGCGAGGTCAATCTGTAGCGCCACCGAGCCCGGGTTCTCCTCCAGGTATGTGCGCACAGTGTGAATGGCCGCCTCAATCCCTCTAGCCACTGCGACCCCGAACTGTAGAGGCGCGAAGTGTGATCGTGCCGCCGCCCCAGTCAGGAACAGTGCTGCCTTGGCCACTATGCGAAGAAGGCATTCGTCCACGGCTATCGGTCGGGTCCCCCCCTGCGGTTTTGTGAAGGCCAAGAGCCGTGAGGCTGTGAGGAGCTCGATGGCCTCGCTGCTGAGTTTCCCGGCTATAGCTGTATTGGTAAGTGCGAGGAGGTGGGCGAAGATGTCTGGATTTCCGAGTGCAGCATCGCGGATGTGCTCAAAGGTTGTGCCTGAGGGCCCTGCTCCCACCCCGTTTGGGAGTTTGGCCACGATGCGCCTGAAGTCGCGCGGCTCTATCGAAGGGGTTTTCTCGCGGGAGAAGGTGCGTATCCATTTTGGGAAGGGCTGGAGTGCTTGCGGGTGTCATGCTGCTAATGCCGCGTACACTTTGGAGGAGGCAGGTGAGACCAGAGTGGCTTGGAGGGACTGTAGTGACTTGGCCAGGTTACCACGCTTGGCCAGTCCCTCCGCTCTAGCAAGGATGCCCTGAGTGTCAGGTACGTAACGTGGCTGGGAGGGAAATTTCTTCAACTGCCTCGTCGTACAGGCCAGACCAGAGTCCCTGACGGAAACGGAGGAGGCGATTCATCATCGCGTTCCAGTCTAGTTTGCGAGCTGACGAGGTGCGTAGGAGGATTCGCGGGAGGAAAATCAGTAACCTCCACCCCGCGGTCGAGTTGGGATTGGCTGCCAGGTGGAGGAGTGGGGTGAGTAGGCAGACTGCGAATGATTCGCGAAGGTCTTTTGGCGGGTGACAAGCGAGGGGAGGCTGGCGATTGTCACGCAGTGGGTCCAGGTCCCAGCCTGCGACTTGCGCAAAAAGGTCCAGTCGTTTCGCCAAGTCGCCTGGGTGGATCATTGGTGGGGTTGGGGTTGGGGTTGGGGTGTTCCTATTGGTTGCAGAAGAGTCAAATGTGATTTCTGCCGCGGTCCGATTTACCCCCACGTTCCGATTCCTGGCTGGGGTTCATGTTGCAGACGCGGCTCCAATTTGTAGGTCCGGGAACTCAGCCCCACGAACCAAGAGCTCCTCATCATCTTCATCAGCTTCAGCATCCAAACCTCCCTCCGTTTCGGGGTTAAAACCTGGGTCATCCTCGTCGCTCTCATCATTCTCCGATTCATCACTCTCCCCCCTGCTAGCGGCTTCCTCGCAGCCTTCCGCGCCTTCCCGGAGTAGTCGTTCTGCTGTCCTCGCATAGCCGCTCGCGCCTGTACGTCGGCCTCCTCTCCTCCCAGCTCCTCTTCCTCGGCGTCCTCTCCCGCCTACATGTCGTCCGCTAGGTGTGCCACTCCTCGCGATTGGACTGTGCATTACAGGCGTGCGGTTTTCGCCGATCTCCTCCCCTGCCAAGCGGGGCTCTGGCGTCCTTGGCTCACGCCTCGGTCGTGATGGCGGGGTCCGTGGGTCGCGACCGCGCCTTGGAAGCAACCGCGGAGAGCACTCAGCTTGTTGCACAGCCAAACCCCGAGTATGCGCCTCCGCGTTCCCGAGTGCAGGCTCGTCCTGCTGCGTCGGCGCCCGTGCGCCGTCTTGAGCGTGGGTTGTCTCTTCCGGTGCGCGGGGCGGAACGCCACGCTTCTCCTGAGCAATCCCGTGCTCCCCTAGTCGTCGCGTCGAATGCCTTGCCGGCGCGTCAGGAGCGGGGCCGGTCCCCGCCGCCTCGTGGATATCGACCCGCGTCTCCTGCGCGTCGCGCCCCCAAGCCGCATGACTCTCGGCGGCGATGGGACGAATATCAGCAGGAAATTCAGCATCGCGACCGCCGCTACGGCTCTTCTGAGAGGTCGCCGGAGAAGCGCTCCCCGCGGGAGCGGTCCCCTCCGCAGCGGACGCCGCGGCCGTCGCCTCCGCATCGGGGCCGCGGGGCTCATGTGGGCCGTTGGGATTCTCGCCGCCGTGAGCAGTCCCCGCCCCGTCCTCAGCCGGCTGGGTCTGGAGGGCGGCGGCGGAATGGTTATGCGCGCGGCAGGGGTAGTCGTGGCCAGGGCTCCATTGCTGACCGCGCGGGGAATATGGTGGCGGATGCAGTGAGGGAGGTGGAAGCGTCGGGGGCAGCGGCTCACGTTCGCGTGTCTGTGACCACTGAGCCCCCCACTGCGCCTGTTGCGATTGAAGCCGCTCCGCTGCGCACTCCGACCTTGCGGGAGTATCTGCCAGCTGCAGCGGCGAGGGGGCCGTTCCGTGGACGCCGCCAAGCCCCAGGTTACCCTGCTCCTCAGAATACGGTTGGCCAGACTCCGAGCCAGGTGGCGATGTTTCTGCCGCACGGAGTTCCAACTGTGCCTCTCCCCAGCCGCGCGGGGAGAGATCCCACGCTGAGCATGTGCGGGATGTGGAATTTGGCGGGGGCGGCTGAGGGGCAAGCGAGCCTGCAGCTGGCGGCGTGTGAGGCCATGCGTCACACACCGAGCAGGTTTGCTCAAGGGCCCCAAGGACAGTGCGTCGCTTGGGCAGGAGAGATTGTCCCCCTTCTATCGCCCGTGTCAGATGCGCCCGCCGGGGTAGCATCCTTAGCCCGTACCTTCCCCCGCCTCGCTCTTGATCTTCACGCTGCGGCTCAGCACGGGACACCTGTTGATACTCTTTGCTTCTCGGCGGAGCTTCTCCACTTGATGGCGGGGTGTCTTCTCACGATGCTTGAGGCGGAGGGGGCTGGCCTGTACACACAGTAGAGCGGCGTCTCGTGTTGTATTGCATCTTGATCGTAAGGTGATGCTCTCCAGTTGCTTGATTTCTTCCTTCTTGGAATGCCTTGCTTGATCAACTCCTTGTGTTAGTGTCTTGCCTCTGAAAAGCGGAGCCGAAGGCCGCCGGCGCGAGCCGTTGAAAACTGAGAATACACGAAATAATGAGGAGAAGAAGGCACCAAGGGCCCTTAAATAGGCTCAGAGGAAGAGGGCCGAAGGAAGAGGAAGAGGGCTGGGTGCTAACTCCTCTCTCGAATGGTCCTTGCATTTCTTTGGGGGGTGGTACAGCGGAAGGTGCAAAACACACAAGCACAAGCTCAACAGAAAACCGGCATCCTAACTATTCCAAGTCCCCTACCTACTCTGCCCCCCCCCCTGTCCGACCCTACTGGTCGAACGGGGCCTCAATCAACTGGTGCAGCTGTCCCTCACTGAGAGGGATGATGGGTCCTCTAAAACCGAGCTCGTCCGCCGCCAAGGCCTCATTGGTCTTGGTGCGGAGGGCGTTGGCCTGTGCCCGCTGGAGGCACACGCTCCAACGCTGGCGGTACTCCGTCAGAAGCTTCGCTGCTTCGTAGGAGGTAGGGGCTGCGTTAAACTGCAGCTTTGCCGCCAGCTCCGCGCATTGCCGCAGGTAAGCCAGCACCCCCGGCGAGGGGTAGCCGTATGTTTCCACTGCGAGCGCGTGGAACCCCACCCACGTGTTCCGCCGTGCGTACTTCTCCTCCTTTTTTGCCGCTGCCGCCCTAGCTGCCCAACCAGGAGCTCGGTTGCAGTTCTCGTCCTGGTATGACATCGGGTCCGTCACGGTCACGTCGCACATCCAAACCTCCCCGGTCAGTGGATGACGGATGGTGACATCCGCCTTTAGGTTTTCAACCAGTGAGTAGACATACGTCTCCTTATGAATTGTAAAACCCGCCTCAGCCCCGATATTTGCTATCTCATCCCGCAGAGCGTGATGGGTAGCGGTCCTCCCTTTCCCCTTCTCGCAGCGCATGAGGTGGTTGGGGAGGCGGTCGTCGGGGAAGGTGGTGCGGTAGCGGCAGTCACAGCGTCTAGGCACTGGGAGGGGGAGGCCTAGGCGGAAGGCAGCTGCAGTTGAGAGCTGGGAGGGGCCCATTCGGAGCGAGGGGATGAGCGGGATCGCCAGCAGCCAATCCCCCGCTCCCGGGCCTAGCACCGACTGCATCCGTTGCGCATGGCCTGAAAGGGGGTTGGGGCACATCCGCCTTGCCTCGCGCATGGCCCTCAAGAAGCGGCGGGAGTGAACCGCCAGCGCTAGGCTCTGTTGTAGCTTCAGTCCCTTGGGGTCTGTCTTCCCGGCCTGGAGCACCTCGAGAGCCTCGGGTGGGAGAGCTGCCTCAGCCGCGGCGAGGCGTGCAGGCAGCGTGTGCGGGGAGCCGTGGGTAGGGTCCAGTAGGGGGAGGAACGCGGCGACAGCAGGGAGTAACGACTCCTCCAGGGAGTATAGAAGGTGGGCGGCGCTGATCACTGAAGCGAGGTAAGCGTAGTTGCCTTCAACGGCGGGGTCAGTGATGCCCAGGCCTCCCAGAGTCACGGGCAGGGCCGCCTGCCGCCAAATCCTCCGCCTCTCCCGGGCACTCCTCGGTCTCATGATGTGGGCCGAGTCCAGGAAGGTGTGTAGGAGCTGCTCCCCCCAAGCTGACCATTCCGCTTCAGGGAGAGCTTCCAGGGGGGTGGTTCTGGCCAGAAAAGAGGCTCGGCGGCTGACACAGCGGGTGAGGAGGAGGAGGCTAAGCTGGGGGTCCATCTGGGCCAGCAGGGGGAGTGGGGATGCTGCTACAGCCAGTCTCTCTCTCACGGCGCCCGCGCACCCCCGGGGTGTGCCAACCGGGCTGCCGAGAATCTGCAGTCCCTCATCAGAGATAGTAATTCCCGGGGGCACTGCAGAGGGGTCGATTGGAGCGGCGGACCACGCCGCGCATTTGGCCGGGTTGTGTACCAGGCCGAGGGCGGCAAGTGCGGATGTGAGGTGGTCGAAAGCTGCTGTGCAGGCCGAGGCGTCGCCGAGCAGCGTGATGTCATCGGCGTACGCCAGCAGGACCACCTAAGGGTGTGCCGCCGCCGTGGCAATGAGGCACGGGTGGATGCTTGCCGCGAACAGGAGGGGGCCGAGCGGGTCCCCTTGGCGAACTCCTCTGGCGCTCTGCAGCGGGGCTGCGCCGAAGTCGTGGTCGAGGTAGAGCGAGGAGGGAGCCCCGTAGGATAGGCGGACGAGGGGGATCAGCTTCTTCAGCGCCTCGTTTCTCAGTCCTTCGAACACTGCTCTCCTTTCGACCGCGTTAAAAGCGTTCGCGAGGTCGATCTGCAAGGCCACTGCAGCAGGGTGCACTTCCAGGTACGTGCGAGCGGTGTGGATAGCCGCTTTGATCCCCCCTGCTACTGCCACGCCAAATTGAAGGGGGGCAAAGTGAGTACGGGCGGCTGGCGCGGTCAGGAAGAGGGCGGCCTTTGCTATAATCCGGAGGAGACACTCCCCCACCGCTATTGGCCGCGTCCCTCCTTGGGGTTTCGTAAGGCTAGCAGGCGGGAGGCCGTGAGAAGATCCCCCGCGGCTGTTGGGAGTTTCCCTGCTAGAGCTGTGTTGGAGAGGGCGAGGAGGTGGGAGAGTACTTCGGCATTCCCTAGGGCTGCGTCGCGGATATGCTCGAAAGTGGTTCCTGAGGGGCCGGCCCCGACTCCGTTGGGGAGCTTGGCGAGGAGGCGCCTGAAGTCGCGGGCTTCGATAGTGGGTGGGTCTTCAGCCGGGGCGGTGTGGAGCCAGTCAGGGAGAAGCTGGCTGGCAGGTGGATGTCTCGTCGCGAGGGCTTCCAGCACTTCAGGTGAGGCAGGTGACACAGGGGTGGCCTGGAGGGATTGGAGTGATTTTGACAGGTTACCCCGTTTTGCCAGACCTTCTGCCCGTGCCAGTATTCCAGTTGTGTCGAGTGAGTGGCGAGGCTGCGGAGGCAAGGAAATCGCCTGGATAGCTTCTTCGTATAGGTCCGCCCAGAGCCCTTGGCGAAATCGCAGGAGCCGATTCATCATCGCGCTCCAGTCAGGTTTACGGGCCGACGAGGTGCGAAGGAGTATGCGCGGGAGAAAGGTCAGTAGTTTCCATCCTGGCGCAGACTCAGGATTGGCCGCCAGGTGGAGTAACGGCGTCAACATACAGATCGCGAAGGAGTCGCAAAGGTCTTTGGGGGGGTGGCGAGCGAGAGGAGGTTGGCGACTGTCACGCAGCGGGTCGAGGTCCTAGACTGCAACCTGAGCGAATAGCTCAGAGTTTTTCGCCAGGTCGTCAGGTTTGAGCATCGGGGGGGTTGGACTCGGGGCTGCGGAATTTTCATTGGCTGTTGCAGAGTCAATTCTTTCTTCTGGAGCGGCTCGATTTCCCCTCCTTGCTTGAATTCCCCCTGCGGTTCGATTCCGAACTGAGGTTCGGTTTCCAGGTTCACCTCTGGCCTACTGGTTTGGGAGCTCCGCTTCCCGTAGCAGCTTCAACTCTTCCTCATCCTCCTCGGCCTCTGCTTCTAACATCCCCTCGCTTTCAGGGTTAAAGGCAGGGTCCCCCTCTTCACTTTCCTCATTCTCCGCTTCCTCCTCTGCTTCCTCGCTAAGTGGTTCCACGTCGCCCTCCGCGCCGTTTCGCATCAGCCTTTCCACATTCCTCGCATAGCCGCTTGCACCAGAACGGCACCTGTTCGAACCTCGTGCTCCACCACCTCTTCGTCCTCTCTCGTTGCCTCGTCGTCCGCGGCAGCTGCCGCGTCCTACGCGGATTCCCCGCGTTGCTCGTCCCACAGCAGCTCCCTCGCGCCTTGTCTGCGGCGCCGCGGCCGTCTCGTTTTCGCTTCGTCGCCGCACTGGCGTCGGCTGCGGTAAGATCGGGGGTGATGGACGCATCCGTGAGACGGGATCCGGAGCTGGAGGGTTCCGCGGAGAGCTCGTTACCGCAGCCTGCGCCTGCCGGGCCTCGTCCGCGTCTCCCTGCGCACCCCTCCGCGAGCGAGCCTGTGCACCACTTCGAGCGGGTTCAAACGCTTCCCCATCGTCCTGCCGCGCGCCCCGCCTCGCCGGAGTATTCGTGGGCGCCCGCTCGTGTTGCGTCGAACCACCCGGACGGTTAGCCGCGGCAGGAGCGCGGATGCTCGTCTCTGCGGCACCCTCAACAGCCGCCCTCTCCTCGCCGCCCTTCTCCTGAGCGTCGCGAGCACTATCAGCGCGGGGAGGGGGGTAAGCGTTCTCCTGCACGTCCTCGCTCCCCTCGCCGCCCATCCCCTCGTGGTCAGGCAGGCCAGCGCTCACCGCGAGCGCGATCCCCCGCGCAACGTTCTCCTCGGCGATCTCCGGCGACGCGGGGGAGGGGGTCGCCTGGTCGTCGCTGGGATTCGGGTCGCCGCGAGCAGTCCCCCCCGCGTCCACATTCGGCTGGTTCCGGGGGACGGCGGGGCTGGCGGAAGGGCGGAGGGCGAGGCGGGAATAGCAACCAGCGTGATCCAGCCCTCGATCATGCTGCGAACACGTTCGTGGAGGTGGTGAGGCAGGCCCGGGCGAGTGGGGCGCCGACTCACGTTCATATTGAGGTGACCAACGGTCCCCCCTTCGCCGCGGACCCAGGCCAGGTCGCTCCTCTGCGTGCGCCGACGCTGCGCGAGTATCAGCCCGCGCGTGAGGGGAGGGCTCAATTCCGCACCCCCCGTCAGGTTCCCGGCTTCTCTACGCCGCGCTTGGCTGTTGGCTGGACTCCTGGCTGGCCGGCGGCGTTTCCGCGCGAAGCGCAGACTGCACCTCTCCCCACTCGCGCGGGGAGAGACCCCATGCTGACCATGTGCCGGGTTCTGAATCTGGCGGAGGCGTGCGAGGTGGTGGCGAACTTGCAGCTGGCGGTGTGTGGGGCCACGAGGAGCTTTCCGAGCAGTTTTGGTCCAGGGACCCGAGGATCCTGCGTGACTTTGGCAGAATCACTCGAGTCGCCGTTGGCACCCGTGTCGGACGCGCCCGCCGGGGTAGCTCCCTTAGCCCGTACTTTCCCCCGCCACGTGGGGGATCTTGTAGGGGCTGCTCAAGCCGGGACCCCCTTGGACACGCTCCAGTCGTCGGCGCATCTCCTTCTTGCGTTGTCGGCGTGCATGCGCTCGATGCTTGAGGTGGAGGGGGCGGAGCCGTACACGATGTAGGCCTCCGCCGTGTGTAGAATTGCATGCCGCGCCTCTTGCTCCTGCCCAGCTCCTTGCCTTTGTGTGTGTGTGTGCCCTATATAAGCCGATCCTCCGTTTTGTGTCTTGCCACCAGAAACGCGCGGCCGAAGGCCGCCGGCGCGAGCCGCGGAAAACTGAGAACACACGAAATAATGAGGAGAAGAAGGCACCAAGGGCCCTTAAATAGGCTTAGAGGAAGAGGGCCGAGGGAAGAGGAAGAGGGCTGGGTGCTAAGTCCTCTCTCTCTCTCGCTCTCTCCAGCCGCGGAAAACTGAGAACACACGAAATAATGAGGAGAAGAAGGCACCAAGGGCCCTTAAATAGGCTCAGAGGAAGAGGGCCGAGGGAAGAGGAAGAGGGCTGGGTGCTAAGTCCTCTCTCTCTCTCGCTCTCTCTCGAGCCGTTGAAAACTGAGAACACACGAAATAATGAGGAGAAGAAGGCACCAAGGGCCCTTAAATAGGCTCAAAGGAAAAGGATGATTTGCAGGAGTCTTAGTAGTTGTTGCTCTGGGTCTTGTTGCCGTGCCCTCCTCTGCCTGTAGGCCAGAGGCAGGAGGTGGAGTAGGAATAGTGCCCTGGGATCCGTTGGAGTTGCTCCTTCCCTTTTGTGTAGCCATGCTGATTGACACTGTTGGTATATAAGTCGAATTCCCCCTGATAGCTCTAACACCATGTTGGGCAGAAAAGGCCCTTAGGATCTTTGCAGAGGTGAATTCTGGGTAGAGTTGATGTAGTAGCGGAAGCGTCTTAATAAAGACTTTGTGAACCACCTTGCGCTAGTATGTGAGGGCAAAGTGAATTGATTAAAGCAAAGTGAATTGATTAAAGCAAAGAGATACAAGATTATATATGAATACAGAGAATATGAAGAGACACAGGTATAACTACTTTACTGTTGCTGTTGCGGTTTGATACAGTGACGCCTCATGCAACTGCTCTGTAACGAGTCAATTATGTGTCCTTGCTGTCGCACTGCATTTGTCAGGTCAAAGGTCGCTGACCTTTGACTTTCGCGTAACCTCCAGCGGTTACTTCAACCTCCGAGGGTTGACTCGCTGGTGCCTCGATATGCTCTGCTTTGCTTGTGCCTTAGTGTTTCGACATGACAGAGGCGCTTAGGAACGACTGTTTCCAACAAGGTGTTTATTTCTTAGGCTCCGTTTTGTCGCATGTAGGACGGCCCCCACGGGCCTCGTTCTCGTCGCGTTCAAAGGCCCCCGCGGGCCTCGTTTTTTGTCATGTTTAAAGGGCCCCGCTGGCCCCTCGTTTCGTCGCGCTCTAGAAGGGACCCCCCCCCCCCCCCCCCCCCCCCCCCCTCTCCGCGGGCCCGCGTAGTCGTGTAGCCAGCAGCAGCAGCGCGAACGTTAGCCAACGGCAGCCGCACATGCCAATGCAGCACGCGCATTGCAGTAGCAGCAGTGTGTGCATTGCTAGAGGAGCATGTACATTACTACAGAAGCATGTACATTGCTGCAGCAGCACGGCTAGGCAGCAGCTCGCCGCCAGTAGCAGCTAGCCGCCAGCAGCTAGCCGCCAGCAACTAGCCGCCAGCTAGCCCCTCCCACCCGCCCACAGCCCCTTTTAACCGCTCATAGCCCCTTCCAACCGCTCACAGCCTCTTCCAACTGCTCACAACTCCTCATCACACGCGCACACCATCCAGAACCACCCGACCTCCGTTGGTTCGACACTCGCAGCACTCATACTAATGGTGTTTCGCACCGTCGCGGCCAGAGGCCGCTCCACTTAGCTGTTTAGGCTAGTCCTAATGTTCATTGTTAGCTAGGTCTCTCCTCGCTCCCCCAGCCCCTCGAACGACTCTCCGGCTCCTCGATCAGCTCATCAACCCTGCCTCCTCCAGCCGTCTGCTCCTAGCTCAGCTAGCTCCCAGCTCCGATCGTTACTAGACTGGCGTTCCTAGATCAGTTTTTCTCCGTGCTCCGGCAGTACCTCGCCTAGTCCCACCTGGCGCTCCTCGCTCCTAGCTCCATTTGCTCTGTGCTCTAGCTGCTCCTAGCCTAGCGGCCAATATGGACTCCTCCCGCGGCCTTCGTCTCGATGCAGAAGGGCGCCCGATAGAGTTCGGCACCTCGCTCCGCCAGACTCAGTGCTATCTCACCAGTCAGCGCCAGGACGGTGCCACCCTGTACGCCCACGCGTCCGGCGCCCTCCAGGCACCACCGCGTCTCAAGCCCCTCCCTGCCGTGCCCCCCCCCCCGACTCCGTAGGCGCAGGCGGACTACGCTCGTCTCATCTTGGCGCGGGACGTTTGGGACTCCCGTGACGCTGCGGCTGCACTCGCGCTGACCGAGCTCCTTTCACCGACTGAGGCCGCTCACTTCGACCTAGTAGAGACTGCGAAGGAGGTGTATGATGCTATTTTTGCACGCTATTCTACCCCTTCCTCTGCCTCTTTCAGCCGCATCTTCATGTCGTTTGTGTTTCCCGACCTCGGCTCGTTTGCGACTGTCTCTGACCTAGCCACATACTCGTGCTCCCTTATCGCTAGCTACCGAGTAGCTTGCACTGAGGCTCGACTTCTTGTTGCCCCTCCTCCTATCTGGCTCACCGTCCACTGGGTAGTCACCGTGTCCTTGACCGCCTCTCCACTGCCCATGACGCACTTCTCCAACAGCACCCCAGTGAGCTTACGATTGATCTTCTCGAGACCACTCTCGGGAAGATCGAGAGCAGCCTCCTCTCTGTTGCCTTAGCCACTGACGCAGTTGCCCCTCGATTGTTTGAGGGGTGTGCTATCCCCCAGCTTCCTACCTTCACTGCTACTCGTGCCTCTGCTGCTGTGTTGGTCTCTGAGGACTGTGCAGTTGTTTTTGCCGCTGACAGGCAGAAAGAGGGCAAGGGAGGCAAGAAAGGGGGGAAGGGGGGTGGCGGCGGTGGAGGAGGTGGCGGTGGTGGAGGCGACCCTGGGGGCGGCAGTGGTGGCAGTGGCGGTGGTGCCCCAGGCGGGGGAGCTCTGGAGGAGGTTCTGACCCGCTTGCTGGAGGAGGTTCGACCAGCGGTGGTGCGGGGCCCTAGCAGCAGCAGCAGGGACAGCAGTAGTGGTAGGCACCACAGCAATTTCGGTCGTGGGGACCCCCACTGCAGTGGGGTCCGCAGCACCACTGGGGCCTTCCACCACAGTAGGGACCTGGAGGACCCTGGAGCACTGGCCATAGCAGCAGCACTACCAGCTGGGCCCCTCTCCCCCCGTGGCGCGACATCGGCCCCTGCGACCATTGGTGCGTCACCGGACCGGGCAGTCCCTGTGTTTGCGGCCGCGACGACCACTCTGCAGCGCGGTGCTTCCGCCGCCTCGACGACCTCTACCATGCACGCTGGGGTCCTGAGGCGACGAACCCGCGCTGGGCTCGCCTGCTAGCTTGTAAGATTCCTGTAGTTGAACATTCTATGGACGATGCTCATCGGTATGCTTTGTATGCTGATGTTGACTATAGTGCTGATGGATATGTGTGCTCGCGTGTTCGTAGTCTAGGATGCTTGCCTCCTGTTAGTGTAGACCTGTGCCTCTCTAGTCTAGGCACTTGTGTCTCTGCTCTAGGTGCTTGTGTAGTCTCCGGACCTGCCACGCCTCTGGCTGAGGCGTCTCTGTCGTTCACGCTGGACTCTAGCACGTCGCAGTGTTTCTTTCGCGACCACACGACCCTCACACCACTCCTTGCTCCGGTTCCGGTAGCTCTGGTTGATCCTTCTTCAGGACCAGCCATTGCGCACAGCTCCACCACCCTCCCGTGCCTTGTGGTCCCCTTCGGTGTCCTGCGTGACCTCCACATCCCCTCGTTCACTCGGAACTTGGTGGATGTTGGATACCTTCAGGACAGGGGCATCACCGTTACCTTTGTGGGGGGTGGGAGGACTGCGGTCCGTACAGACACCGCTACAGGTGCTGTTCTCGCCACGCTCACCAAGGAGTCCCGCTCTGGTCTCTACGTACTCCACACCGAGCGCTCCCCGGTTGCTTCCTCCATTCAGGTTGCTGCGTCCCCTCAGGTCCCATTGTCTAGTCTGGTTGATGTGTCTGGTTAGGTAGGGGTGTCTGGTCAGGTTGCTGCATCTTGCTCCTGTCGGTCCCTAGCCCACCCAACCGTCTTGTGGCACCACCGCCTTGGCCACCTGTCGCTCCCCGGCCTCCACTGCATGGTCAGTCACAATCTTGTCTCAGGTCTCCCCCGCGTCTTTCCATTGCTCCCTCCCTCGCTTGCCCCACCCTGCACTCCTTGCGTCGCTGGCCACCTGCGCGCCACTCCGCCTTCTTCCTCCCTTTGTCCGGCCACTGCTCCCTTCCAGACTCTCCACCTGGAGGTCTGGGGCCCTGCCCCTATGCTGGGACCTGAGAGGGAGCGCTACTTTCTAGTGGTCGTTGACGACTACTCCATCTACACCATGGTGTTTCCTCTCGCGAAGAAGTCCGAGGTGACTTCTACGCTGATCCGGTGGCTTCTGGTCACTGATGGCATTCGTGGTAGTCATGTCCATTGTCTCCACTCTGACCGTGGGGGTGAGTTTCGCTCCGGCGTCCTTGCCGGGTTCTGCGGCGAGCAGGGCATCAGACGGACCTGGACACTGCCGGAGTCCCCCCAGCAGAATGTGGTTGCTGAGCACCACATTGGCTTGGTCATGGACATCGCCCGCACGTCCATGATCTATGCCCATGCGCCCCATTTTCTATGGCTCTACGTGCTGCGCTACGCCGCGCACCAGCTGAACCTCCAGCCACGTGTCTCGCGGCCAGAGGTTTCACCGACCAGTCTTTGGACTGGGTCCCCTGGTGTTGGGTCGGCCTTTCACGTCTAGGGCTGTCTTGCGCTTGTCCGCGACACCTCTGCGGACAAGCTCTTGACTCGCGCCATCCCTTGTGTCTTCCTTGGTTTCCCAGTGGGCTCTCCCGACTACTCTTTTTACCCCCGCCCCTC